ATCTGAGAAAGTTGTGGGATCAGACTCGACGAATTCTTCTTCAGAATTCCATGGTGTTCAAACGACACGCTGACAAACGGAGACGGGTGGCTCCGGTTTTTGCCCCGGGTGATAAGGTGTGGTTGAGTACCAGAAACATCCGCTTGAAGGTTCCTTCCATGAAATTTGCCCCTCGTTACATAGGCCCTTACAAGGTTCTGTGTCGGATTAACCCGGTTGCGTATCGTCTTGCCCTTCCGCCTGCCCTGCGCATCCCTAACTCTTTTCATGTTTCTTTGTTGAAGCCTTTGGTTTGTAACAGATTTTCCTCCGCTGAGTCCTCCCCTCTCTCTGTCCAGGTTGAGGGTCAGGAGGAATATGAAATCAAATCCATTCTCGATTCTCGTATTTCTCGGGGGAAGTTGCAATATCTTGTTGACTGGAAGGGGTATGGGCCTGAAGAAAGGTCTTGGGTGGGCCGTGAAAATGTGCATGCCCCTCGTCTCCTCCGGGCATTTCATGCTCGTTTTCCGTCTCGCCCCGGTTCCTTCCGCCCGGTGGGCGTTTCTGAGAGGGGGGGTACTGTCAGGTTACCTCTGGTGTCTACCTCGGAGGAGGTTAGACACCTAGACGTCCATCCTCCTAGGGGGGCTGACTCACCCGATCCTCGCAGTCCTCCCGGCCGTTTACACGCCGGCCGCGATAGCTCCGCCTCCTTTTATGACGCGGCGCTCAGTAGCCGACGTCATGACGGCAATCACGTTCCGACCCGTCAATCACGGCAACCAAGTGCCGAACAACGAATCAGGACTCGTTGGGGGCGGGGCCAACAGTTAAAGAGCCAAGGTATAAAAGAGGGTTTTGTGGAATGATTCATTGCCCTGTCGTGGTTCTAGCTAGTCTGGTCACTCAGTGCTCTTACCTCTATTGTCTTTTGGTTCCTGACTCGGCTTGTATTTTTGACCCTGCTTTCCTCTCTTGTCCTTTTGACTCGGCTTGTCTCTCGCTTACCTACTCTCTCGTTCCCTCGACCTCGGCTTGTCTCTGACCATTCTTTGCTTTCTCCTTACGTTAGTCCGGCCATTCTAAGGTCCGGTATACGTACCTATCTCCTGTTTGTATTCTGCGTGTTGGATCCCTGTCACGATCCTGACACTGGGGCCATGTGGCCGCCTAAATCACCTTAGGGCAGACTGTGTCGGGTCCTTGGTCAGTGACCGAGGACACAACACCAGGAGGGGGCCTGGCGGCTTGCTCTGTATGGTGCCGGGTATGAGTCCCCTCCAGTACGCCCGAACGGAGAGCGCTAATCACAGACACAGGTCTGTAGCTCCGCAATGTGCAGAGTTGCAGACGGTGTGTCGCGAGATCTGGCCAATCAGAGCGTTCCCGCGGGTTACCACGGCAACACTCTGACTGGGTCTAGCGGTCATAGGATATTATCGCCACCGGACCACTAGTGAGCTAAAAAAGGTATTAAATCTCTTACCATCACCCCCCCCCCCTTCCTCCCTTACAACATTATCACCCCCCTCACTCCATCAATACCCCTACTCCATCTATACCCCCCACACCATCAATATCACCCCTCCTTCACACCATCATCACCCCCTCACTCCATCAATACTCCCACTCCATCAATACCCCCCTCTCTCACACCATCAATAACCCCTCTCCCTCACACCATTATCACCCCCTCCGTCCATCAATACCCCCACTCCACGAATACCACCCTTCCTCACACCATCACCCCCCTCACTCCATCAATACCCCTCCCTCACACCATCATCACCCCCCTCCATCAATACCCCCCTCCTTCACACCATCATCACCCCGCTCACACAACCAATACCCCCCTCCTTCACACCATCATCATCATCCCCCCTCCCTCAGCTCACTGACCCACATGCTCACTACACACAAGATCACAGGCATACACAAGATCACTGACACACACACTCACTACAGACACAGTTTTTAATCCCTACCTGGCACTGGAGGCTGTGGGCTGTGGGAGATGAAGATTTCTCTGGGAGGCTATTTTCAGGCTTCTTCCTGCAGGAAGGTCCGCTGCTTGAGTGCGGGAGGCAGAGCTTATGTGTGGAAGTATGCCTTCTGAACGGGGTGGAGCTTCCATGAACGGCGGAGCTTCCATAATTGGCCGGGGCATAAGTGCTAAAGAAGGTGCTGGGAATCAGGAAGGGATACTCAGTGCTCCCTCCGACCATCAGCACCTGCCTCCTGAATTCCCTCGAGCTGAAAGAAGCTGTCACAGGCTGAGGGAAAAATGATTTAAATAAAACATTAGGGCTTCCTGTTGGCCCCAGGTGCCACGGCCCACCGGGAAAATTCCCGGTATCCCGGTGGGCCAGTCCAGCCCTGCAGCTGACTAACACTTAGGAAGGAGGAAGGGGGGACATTGGAGATGGAAGGGAGAGATATGGAAGGGAGAAGATAAACATGGTATGGGGGAAGAGAGACATGGATGGAATGGGGAACAAGACATAGATGAAAGGGTGAGAGAGACATGGATGAAAGGGAGGAAGAGAGATATGGATGCATGGAAGGGAAGAGAGACATGGAAGGAAGGGGAAGAGAGAAATGGAAAGAAGCATTGAAATAAGGGGCAGAGACACGGAAGGAGGGAGGGGGACGTTGGGAGCAGTCTGGTGCATTGGGTGCAATATCTAGTGCTGTGGGAAATGCAGTGGGTGCAATCTGGTGCTGTGGAATAGGGTAGTAAGAGTAAAAAGGTGCAGAGAACATAGTGTGAAAAGGAGTAGAGGAGGAGGAAGGAACCAATGTAAAAGCAAGCAGATAGAAATGCATGTGTTCTTATAAAATTACTATGGATAGTCTTGGCAAGAGGCAGGCAAAATATACTTTTGCCTAGGGTGGCAAAAAGTCCTGCACTGGTCCTGTCTGTGAGTGCATTCGTGGGTCTGTGAGTATGGGAGTGTCTGTGAATGAGTTTCTGTGCCCAAAAGTAAGACACCAGGAAACTGAGGCAGGATGGCAGACAGGATCCAAAAATTTAGACAGTTGGGAGACTGACAAAAACACACCCCTGCATTCAAACGCTAACACTACACAGACACCAAACCTTTCATTCAAACAGTAACACATCACTGCATTAAAATGCCAACATTCTTTTCACAAACAGCCCTCTGCGCAAACACCAGCACTACCAGCAAACACATACCCGCATTCAAATACCGACATTGTACACATACACACCTCTGCAAGTAAACACCTGTGGGAGTTGAATGGCTGTTGAGGAGCTATGTTTTGGCCACCACTGTTCTACAGGTGGATGCAAATATACGTTTTGCACCAGGGCCCTTTATACACTAATTCCACCACTGATTGTAGTACTTCCAGCCACTATTAAAGGACCACTATAGTGCCAGGAAAACATACTCGTTTTCCTGGCACTATAGTGCCCTGAGGGTGCCCCCACCCTCAGGGACCCCCTCCCGCCCGGCTCTGGAAAGGGGTTAAAACTTACCTTTTTCCAGCGCTGGGCAGAGAGCTCTCCTCCTTCTCTCCTCCTCCGTTCCTCCCTGTCGGCTGAATGCGCACGCGCGGCAAGAGCTGCGCGCGCATTCAGCAGGTCGCATAGGAAAGCATTTACAATGCTTTCCTATGGACGCTGGCGTGCTCTCACTGTGAAAATCACAGTGAGAAGCACGCAAGCGCCTCTAGTGGCTGTCAATGAGACAGCCACTAGAGGATTAGGGGGAAGGCTTAACCCATTCATAAACATAGCAGTTTCTCTCAAACTGCTATGTTTATTAAAAAAATGGGTTAACCCTAGCTGGACCTGGCACCCAGACAACTTCATTAAGCTGAAGTGGTCTGGGTGCCTAGAGTGGTCCTTTAATACAGACTCCGTTTCAAACAAACTTGCATATGTCAACTTTAAAAAGTTTGCTGTTATTATCCCAGAGCTATAATATTTTCTCCTAAATGCAAATTTCTCCTAAGCCCCTTAGTCCTTCTACCTCTAATGCTTATTAAATTATTACTCCAACCAAAAAAAACCCCAAAAAACAGTTATTTGATTAGAGTAACCATTCCTATCCTGGTTTCCCTGTCAAAATAAATAAATAAACTCACCACAATTTTAGTCCAATGTCGAGGTCAAGTTCTCCTTGAAGCCTGATCCTCCTTTGCTGATGTCACTTTCCCCGGGCAGCCAAGGGAGAGTTGTAGAGGGGGGGCAAGTTGAGGTGAGGGCATAAGGCTGGGAGGCATGCCACCATTGGACGCATTTCGTCAGCATGCTGGTCGTGCTGACATCAGGTGTCTAATATGCACAGACTTGACATTAGATAGCCTGGTAATCTTGTTCTGTTCTGGCTAATGGGACGCCAATGACGCTGCTGGAGGTGGAGTTACACATCCGGCAACAGAGGGGTTAAACTCTGGGCAACATTTCATAGTGAAATTACAACGATCTCATCAAATCATACAAGTGGTCTTGAGTAACTTGTTATTAAATTACTATACACTTCATGTTGGCATTTGCATAGCTCACAACTAAACAAACTAACTTTGTGGTTTCTCAATTTACTAATAGATGGCAAACCTATAGTAATGCATTGCTGTCTATTTATACTACAAAGTTATTTACTTGAAAAATATTCAGTTCAATTGAATAAATATACAAGTTAAACACATGTATGCATTAAAAATTAAATACAAATATGTAGCACTCTACTTTTAAAAACAACTATTTTTCCAAGATTCCTGAAGCATACATTAAGTTTAGTAATGACAATGTTGTACAAAAAAGCAATGTAGCTAGCGATTTCCATGTTTTATTATAATTTACAAATAATTAAAACCCATTCCGCTACTGCTAGTCTTAACATGATGGAAAATGTGATACTTTAAGTATATCATGCCATTTTTATTTGTTTTATTTTGAAATATTTTGTTTTGTTTAATAAAACAGTGCACACATTTTGCTCTACACGCAGTTGTATAGGAACTATGCGAGCAGGGTTTCTGTTGGAGTCGGACTGTGTTTGAGTATGCACGCCTCTCCTAACATTCTAGCTACCCACGTGTGTTACATTTCTGTAGTGTAAAGGAAACATCAGGCGGATTTGTAGTTCTTGCCGGTCGGAAAACTTCAAAATGGTGAGTCGTGCTTTGGAATTTTTGTGTTAAAACAAAGTGCGAACTCTGCGTTCTGTACATAAAAGAACATCAGGCTGATGCTGAAACTCAATTCTATGTGTATCTTGTGTTTATCTTTCCCGAAGTAAAAACTATGATTCTGTCCAGTGTGCTATTCTGTAAAATCAAACGGTGATTCACGTCCTAGCTGCAACACAATTGTCTGTATCAGTGGTTCAATACCTTTTTTAAATGCGGCATAATTCAATGTGACAACAATGTGAAAGATACATCTATTTATTTACCCTCTTTTACATTATAAGTGCCTTGTAAATGTTGAATTTACATGTAGCCTTAGGGAGATATTCATATCCATATCTACTTATTCCATGCCTCTCAAGTATCCGAAGTTGGGGCTCAAATCCCTGTATTCCCTTTTTTTCCCCCCTATCCTAATATCCTTTTTGTTCTAGGATCTCCATATGATGGGTGTGTGAGTGTATAACAGAGCTCCACAGCAATACTATTCACTGTAATGTGTCTTTAACCCCTTCAGGACCGGACTGTTTTGACCATGTTGTACAATAGATGTGTTTTGAAATCAGTCTGTAAATAAGATACATTGTCCTTGTTAAAAATTTCATGTTGTGTACTTTATTGTTAGTAAAAAAAACAGTAAAGGCCTTTTTAAACCTGGCAAGGGGAGTACGGCCACCAAAACAGTGACTAGGGCCAGCACTGTATTTATTGCGAGGCTGACAAGGCATTGCTTTTTTTGCCACCCATCCAAACGCCTTGGCAGATGACATGTCAGCCTCTTGTCGTCGTCGTCGTCCCCCCCCCCCGGCTGGCATGTAAGGAGGTGTGGACGCACTCTCCCCTGAGCATTTCCTGCCCAGCTAACTCGCGCCCCGCAGTGATGCCAGAGCTGGAATATGATGTCACTCAGGCCTCGGCATCACTAAGAGGAGCGCGAGGGAGCTGAGCAGGAAGATCAGAGCTCCCTCGCATGCCTGCAGTGACAGCACGCCCAGCCAAGCAGCCCCACTGGACTCCAGGGAAATAGAGACTCCATGTCATCACTCCCAAAGGTAGGGAGACTGGGTGGAGTGAAATTTAAAAAAATAAAGTGTGTGTGTGTGTCTGTGAGTGAGTTTGTATGTGTGCCTGTCAAAGAGTTTGTGTGTTTGTCAATGAGTTTGTATGTGTTTCAGTGAAAGTGTGTGTTGGTTAAACAGTGTGTGTGTGCCAATGACTGTGTATCTGTCAGTGAGTGTATGTCAGGCAAAGAGTGTGTTGGTGTTAAAAAGGAAGAGAAGTTTAGATTGGGGGGAGGGCTACCCGAGTTTTGTCATGCCTTGGGCAGCACAAAATCAAAATACACCACTGACTGGGGCACTATAGTGTTAGGAATGTACATTTGTATTCTTCATGTTTTAGTCTTCCTTATGTCACCTAAAGGTTTTCAGAATACCCCTGCCCCTGGTCACACCCCCAATCACACACCTAAAATTAAAGTGTCCATATTTTTCCATTTGGAATGATGGGTGGAATGCTTGTAGTTTCAATTATTGTCAGAATAGATATCCAGTCCTTACTAAAAATATTTTATGGACTATATTGACTCTAAAAATGTTTGAACCTATGCAGAAGGTATGTAATAATATACTAGTAAACTGACGTCAAAACTTGAGCTCTGGAGGTGGAAATCTCTGTTTAAAATGTATACAATAAATAAATACACATAAGATGCAGCTTTTATACTGAGTAATCTATATCCACTTTATACACACTGTACAGCCATCTGACTGCAATTCTAATGAGTAGTCTATAATACCGGTTGTACATATAGGCTACATAGGGATGAATAAATAATAATAGAAATGAAAACCTAAAATACATATAAGGGATCTAAAAGGAAGCCACTTAATTCATATACTGTATTGTGCTTTACAATGTCGCTGAGAGTCTCCTGGGAGACATCTAATGAACCTCTGTGAGTATAGGTCCAGTTAGTTTATATGGATGAGTGATTTTTGAGATGTGGGTATAATTTGATACATTATCCATCTAACACAATAGAATTTTGGCTGTACATCATATTGAAGATGGAACTAGTGGGTGGCATTTTGATGGCTAATGATCAATTATATCTTCTCCATAGATTCGTTACTACTGCACAAAGTCTTATTAGTGAAGGCTCCCCGTATGGGGACTTTCTACTCACTAATAGTAAAGCCGGCTCCCTTCAGTTATCTCTTTACCAGAGAACACCCCCTTACTTGCACTTGGATTCGACCCTGTACGGGGAGTTCCCTCTCACTAATAGTAAGTCAGACTTCATCCCTTCACCAGAAAACATCTCCTGATTTGCACTTGGGCTCCACCCATTCTGGACGTGGCGCTCTCATCATACGCTCTACTCATTTGCCGTAACGAGGGGCTGTCCCCATCATCCATATAAAAACGTCTGTGGCTCAAGAATTCTGTTCGACTCTTGAAAAAGGCACATTTCGGTGCCGAAACCCGCGTCCAGAAAATGCTGTCTCTTATTTTAGATAGTTATTTGGATACCTTTCTCTACTTATAAGACAATCTTTATTCAGTTATGTGTGCAATTTAGTTTAGGGGACTGCCTTGAAGCAGTATACAGCAGGGGTGGTTTATAGATTGAGAATCAACCCACAAAATGGAACTTTGTTTTTTGTATTCCCTGACTTCTCACAATTCGAATCTAGGCTTTGTGAGTTGTGTGATGATCGAATAGTCGGTAAAGTAATAAAGTACAATTGCTAGTAGAGTACCTACTTTCAGCAGTGAGGGTAAGACACTGCTGCTGCTAACATTGGAGTTGCAACATTTTAACAACTTAATGCTGCATCTAATACATTGCCCTAGGGATTTCCTTGGGCTGTAACTACTTTGTATTTAATATCTACAGTCTGTTTTAATACCTCAATAGTGTCAATTTCTTATTGTCAGTATTTCAGCTGGTATAAATAATTAACTTGATGTGTTTCTGCCGTTTACTGCCTTGAGTATTATTTGACTTTTGCCCTCTGCTGAATGGATCTAGTGTGCTCTCTAATGTGCAATTTATATTTAAATTATATTTTAAGACTTGTAAGTTCTTTCCATCAAACGTCACTACTTTTTCCCACTGGACCAAGGACATAAGTCTACTAATTTAGATATTTGTAGTATTTAAATTTAATATAAAACTTTTTTTTTTTCTGCCTGTATCTAATTTAATATAATGTTAAACTACAAGATCTAATCTTTATACTGACTGGTTATTTAACTAGAATATATTTATAGGTTTTCCAGGTACCTATTTTCACAATAGGAATCTATCTTTCCCTTTTTTACTTTTCTCACAAGTGTTGTTTTGTGACACACCAAAGAGTCCCAGTTATCAGTTGATACCTATATTTCCCCTCTCTCTTCTGGGCCATTTTTAGTGGCCACAGATAGACAGATGAACTGTATGCAGCTCTCAAAGGCTTAGGTATAGGGTTGATATTGAGTTATCCTTAACCCCTTAAGGCAGGGGTCATCAAACTCCGGCCCCCCAGATGTTGCTGAACTACAACTCCCATGATTCTCTGGCTATCTATGTAATTCAAAGAATCATGGGAGTTGTAGTTCAGCAACATCTGGGGGGGTTGGAGTTTGAGGACCCCTGCCTTAAGGACACATGACATGTGTGACGATTCCCTTTTATTCCAGAAGTTTGGTCCTTAAGGGGTTAAAGGGAAACTATAGTGCCAGGAAAACAAAATCAATTTGTTTTCCCCTTCTGTTACTTACCTGAAATCTGGCATCGATTTCCTTGGCGCTGGTTCAGGCAGCTCCTTCACTCCTCATCCACGGTCATTAGTCTGCGTGGGACTTAATGCGCTTGCATTAGGTCTTCCCCCATACAAAAGCATTGTATAATGCTTTTCGGGTGACGCTGGATGTCCTCATGCAGAGCGTGTGGACATCCAGTGTCAGTCTGGCGACCAAAAGTAGCCTAACCAGCCGAAAGTAGAGTTAACCCTGGAAAGTAATTATTGCAGTTTAAAAAAAAAAAAAGCTGAAGTGGTCTGGGTGCCTACAGTGTCCCTTTAACTACCAAAAATGTATTTAGTTCCTACACATATTAGGCATATTGCAATCAGGACTGATATGTGAATATATTTTTAGTTCTTTTTCTTTTATTGCACTGGATGTGTAAAAATGATTAAAGGAACACTAAAGCGTTAGGAAGACAAACCTGTATTCCTAATGCTTCAGTATTTCTGTCCTTAGTCATAAAGACTCCAATAAAAATAACAATAAAAAAAAAAAAAGGCTTTTAACCCCTTAAGAACACAGATTCAAAAGCTTGTCTTGCACTTAAGGACACAAGTCATTTTCAAATTGTTTGCTGTTTGCGTTCAACTGCAATTTGCATTTTACTATTTTATTGCACCAACACATTTTATATACCGTTTTTTTAAAGGACAAAAATGGCTTTAAATTGATGTAACATCATAAACTGCACTAATTGCCTAACATGGTTAAGTAATCCTCTAGTGGTTGTCTATGAGACAGCCACTAGAGGAGCTTCCGGGTTCTTAAAACACTTTTACAAACCCGGAAGCATGAGGACCTCCAGCGTCGCCGGAATCCCCATAGGAAAGCATTGAATAATACTCGTGCGGTGTGGTGTAATGCTCGTCCGGCCATTGCCGTGCGTGCCCGGCAATTGATGCGCATTAGGTCTCCCCCGCCGGCTGGTGTCAGCGGGGGAGGAGAGTTGTCGGAGCCTGTCCCAGTGCCGAGGGACATTGGCGCTGGGTACAGGTAAGTCACTGAAGGGGGTTTAACCCCCTCAGCAACCTGGGATGGGAGGTGGGAGGGAGAGGGGACCTGCAGTGCCAGAAAAACTTTTTTTTTCCTGGCACTGAAGAGTCCCTTTAGGGAAAGTAATTAAAAATAAATTAATTTAGTTGTTCTGATTTACAGAATATATAATGTGTCTAGGATTTTAAGTTTTTTTTTTGGTAGTTACAGGTCACAAAACACAAGGAGTAAAATAAACTTTTAACCCCTTCAGACCGGAGGGCGTACTATTACGCCCTATTTTAGGCGGCTCTAAACGCCGCCGGGCGTAATAGTACGCCCTCCGGTTTTTGTTTACTTACCCGGTCGCCGGCGATCCCACACCGGTGATGGCGGTTGGGGGGACTCCCAGGGAGCCACCCGCGGCACATCTTCTCTCCTGCATCCCCCCGGCCATGTGAGAGTGAGGTCCTTGTGAGGACCTCACTATTACATGGCCGGGATAGCTGGCTGCTGTATTGCCAGCAGGGGGACTGCCTGTAATGACAAGTAGCCCCCCTGCTGGCTGGAAATAAAATCAAATAAAGTTCAATAAATTAATTAATTCTACATATATATGTTATATTTTTACATAATTAGGTATCTTAATTAATTAATTAATTAATTAATTAATTACAATTAGCGGGACCTGCCTGACAACCCATGCCCAAAGTAAAGGGAATTTAATTTGCTAGCACTATATTTAACCCTATAACTTTCCAAGACACCATAAAACCTGTACATAGGGGGTACTGTTCTACTCGGGAGACTTTGCTGAACACAAATATTAGTGTTTCAAAACAGTAAAATGTATTACAATGATTATATCGCCAGTAAAAGTGACGTTTTTTGTAATTTTCACGCACAAACCGCACTTACACAGACGATATTATTGCTGTGATACTTTTTACTGTTTTGAAACACAAATATTTGTGTTCAGCGAAGTCTCCCGAGTACAACAGTACCCCTCATGTACAGGTTTTATGGTGTTTTCAAAAGTTACAGCATCAAATATAAGGCATTTGTAAAAGTAGACACTCCAGGGTATTTCAATTGGCATAATTTAAACCTTAGCACAGGATCTTTTTTGCTAGTTTGTACCAAGTCTAGTAGCAATTGGCATTTTTTAAACCTTTTTGACACACACTTGGAGATGTTACTGTATATTTTGCAATCCTTATGTATGCTACGGCAGTATAACACCTAATATGTTGCTCAGCTATGTCGTCTTAGTACAACAATACCCCCATTTGTACCTTTTTCAGGGATATGTGGATGTTGAAGGGGCACATTGGAGACCAAGCAATATCAGTTTTTTTCAAACTTTGAATTTTGACGCTGGGTCCATGTGCTATTTTAGAGCATCTTAGCAGGCTGATAATTTAAACTACCCCACAAAGGCCTACTATTTCTTAAAGAAGGTATTAATCACTGTATTAACCTGCATCAAACTCTTAGGCACTGTCTGTCAACTCTCTGATAGAATTCAGAACTTCCTAAGCATTTTTAACTTTTTACACAGGAACTTTAACTAAATAATGTTATAAATTATTATTTTTTAAATCTCTCTTCACCCCTAACGTAACAAATTTTCCATGAATTACCACACACCCTAATTAACTAAATAAAATTAGAAAAATAAAAATAATGAAATAGAGAGTCAGAGGTCAGAATTGCAGCAGGCTCCTTGGCCCTAAAAGTCATCAGCAACTTTAAAATGGAAGAAACACACACACCACACACCACACACCACCACCACCACCACCCTCCTTTGCACACCTGGTGTAATCCTGTGGTGTCTGGCAAGGATCATGTAGACATAGCAGAAATTACCATGTTTTGTCCTGATGAAAGCTCCATGTGGGAGCTGAAACGTTGACTTTTTAAATGGATTGAATAAAAGTTAAATTTTATTTGAAAATCTCTATAAAGTCCTTGGAGTGCGGTCATTTCTGCTATGTATGTATATGTATACATACATGCTGCTAGCCCGGCTGATGGTTCCCCCACTGTGGCACTCGGGGAGCAGCCCAGAAACCAGCTGAAACTGAAAATCCGGAAATGTGGATTTAATGTCAGGATTTGCCTTTTTGTATAGAATAAAGGCATTGTGTGTCGCCATTTGCATTAGGTAAATGCCAAGCTTTTTGTACCATACCTTGGTCTTCCTCAGTATTAAATATGGCTGCAGCAGTTGGTCAGGCAGGTCAACTCCCTCCATATGCTTGTTGTACTGCCTAATGCAGACTGGTACCCGTCTAGTTTCTTGTCTGCCACAAACTGCGACTCTTCGAGTGTGCTCAGTTTGCATGAATGTTGGCATGAACCTCCTTTTTATCTTTAAATTTGAGAGCCAGCAGTTTGTCCTGGCAGAAAGCAGCTGTTTCCCCCCCTCTTGAGCTTTTTTTGTGCCAGGGCTTTTGGGAAACAGACACGTGTTTTCCGGGTAGTGCCACAGTTTCAAAGCAATAAAGCATACTAAGAAGAGGGATGCTGTTATAGTAGTTATCTATATATAAATGATACCCCTTGTTTAGCAATGGGTTAATTAGATCCCATACAATTTCCTGCTAGTCCGAATGATATCCAGGCAACCTGGAGGATCCAAGTGGCTGTCTTTACCTTCGTAAACACGGAAGGTGTAAACATAGCCACTGGCACTATATTGCTTAAATCCCAGTCTGCCCTTGTATTTCATCAAAGACTCCTCTACACAAATATTTTTTTGTGGGGTGTAAATTGAGCCAAATTGTCTGTTGAAGTGGGAAATTAGGGGGCGAATCTTATAGATGTTATCGTACTGAGGATTATCTCTTGGGGGGCACTTTGAATTATCGCTGAACTGTAAAAAGCAAAGTATTGCTTCATATCTGGACCTATTCATGGTCTGGGAGTAAATAGGGATGCTGCATACAGGATCTTTGGACCAGTACATCCTGATGCAGGGTTCTTTAATATTGCCCATTAGCATAGTTAGTGGCCATTTTTTTTTTTTTTTTTTTAATTCTGACACACTGATGGGGTACCAACTCCCTTTCCTGGTGATGAGACTCTGATCATTAAGTGTCAGGTACTGCGCAGCATAAATGTTGGTCTGGGTGACGATATCCCCTAAAATATCATCCCCCAAGTTGCTGCATGAAATCCAGTGCACTGTAGTTAGCCAAGTCCAACTGAATTCCTGGACTACCATTAAACTCTGGGATGTCAGGCGTAAAACCATTTGGGGGTTCCCAGTCACCAGCATCATGAGCCATGTCAGGGGACTCGGCGCTTACAACAGGGGGCCCTGCAGTATCTGTCACAGAGTCATACCACTCTGAGGCAGTGTCTGTGGCGTCAGTCTGCTGATAAAATATCATAGATCTCCTCAGCAGTGTACCTTTTAGACATTGTGAAGCTGTAACTTGAACTTAGTTTTTCTAACTTTTTTTTAACGCCTTCAGGACCGGACTGTGTTTGAGATGTTTGTACGTTAGGGACCAGAGCTATTTTAACACTTTTGTGGCATTTGTGTTTAGCTGTAATTTTCCTCTATCTCATTTACTGTTCCGATACAAATTATATATTGTTTTTTTTTCAGGACAAAAAGGGCTTTCTTTACATATTATTATTTTTATCATGTCATATAAGTTAATTTTAAAAAAACAATAAAATTAGGTGAAAAAAAAAAAGTTTTTTGACTTCTACTTAAAAAAATCTTTTACTGATCTACAAAATCGAATGAAACAAACTGCTAAATAGATTAAAAATTTTGTCCTGAGTTTAAAACACCCAATGTTGACGTGTTTTTTGGCTTTTATTTGCAAGTTATAGGGCTATAAGTACATGTAGGAAATTGCTGTTTCAAAATGTACATTTTTCAAATGTATCAGTTGTGACATTGTAACACTGTTATGTCATAAAGCTCCAAAACACCCCACATGTATATATTTTTCTTAAACTAGATAAACTAGGGTATTCATCTAAGAATATTTTGATACTTTCTATGCAGCCATTTTACCACAAACCTTTGCCAAACTTTGCATAGCTAGTTTATATATATTTTTTTTTTTTTTCACATACATTGCAATTCAGGTATAAATTCACAGATTCTGTTAGGTGTCACTACCAAACAACACCCCAATAAGTGTTCAGCAACATCTCCCAAGTACAGTGATACCCCCCATGTATAGGTGTGTTGGGTTGTTTGGGGGCTAAAAGGCCACATTTTGCAGGTGCGCATATCAGTTTCCCAGCTTGGAATTTTGACATGTATTCAACCTGCATGCATGTCCTATTTGGGACATTTTTGAAGCCGGCCAATGTATTTTACCCCATCAAACCATATATTTTTGAAAAGTAGACACCCTAGGGTATTTCACATGGTGGTATTTTAACACTTTCCATGCACTAATTCAACCACCAGGCTTTGTCAAACATTGAGTTAGTAATAGTTTTTTCTGTTTTTGTCACACACATTGTACTTTAGGCATGAATTAACAGATCCTGTTATGTATCACTGTCAAACAACACCCCAATATGTGTTCAGCAAGATCTCCTGAATACAGTGATACCGCCCATGCATAGGCTTGTCGGGTTCTTTGGGGGCTAAAAGGCCACATTTGGCAGGTGTGCTTATCAGTTTTCCATCTTGGGATTTTGACATGTAATCAACCTGCGCCCATGTCCCATTTGAGCCAATGTATTTTACCCCCATCAAACCATATATTTCTGAAAAGTAGACCACCAAGGGTATTTTAAATGGTGGTATTTTAACACTTTTCACACACTGAATTCTACCACCTGCCTTTGTCAAACTTTTGGGTAGTAATCTTTTTTTTTTTTGTTTCTTTGTCACACACATTGTACTTTAGGCATGAATTAACAGGTCCTGTTATGTGTCACTGCCAAACACTGCCCAATATGTTCAGCAACATCTCCCTACAGTGATACCCCCTATGTATAGGGTTGCTGGGTTGTTTGTGGGCCAAAAGGCAACAATCAGAACTTGTACATGTCAGTTTTTCAACTTGATATATAGGTATGCTTGGTCTATCTTCAGTTTGACATATTTTTGCACCCCCCAGTTACCAATGGTCCCATACAAGTTTCCCACTTGTCCCCTGGGAGTCAGGACAGCCAGGAGGGTCCAGTTGACCATCTTTCCCCTCATATACACGAAAGGCAAACGTGTATCCACTTTCGCCCTCCACAGTTTGTACAGTTTTATGCCATACCTAGAGCGCTTTGAGGGAATGTATTGCCTGAACCCTAATCTCCCTTTGTATTTCATTAGCGATTCATCTATGGATAAATTTTGTTGGGGGGTATAAACATCCGAAAATTTGTCCTGAAAATGGTCTAGCAGTGGGCGTATTTTATGAAGCCTATCGTATTGGGGGTGATCTCTAGGGTGACAGAGGGTATTGTCACTGAAATGTAAAAATCTCAGCAGTAACTCGTATCTGGCTCTAGGCATGGTTTGGGAGAATACTGGACTAGACATTATTGGCTTGGTGCTCCAGTATGAGCGAATCGATGGCTTCTTTATAATCCCCATGAGCATTGTAAGAGCCCAGAATTTTTTTTAAGCACTGGGACATCTGTGGGATGCCAGTCATGCTCTCTGGATTGTTATCAATAAATTGGGTAGCATACAAGTTAGTCTGGGAAGCAATCTCCACCCAGATGGTATCCCCTAAGTATAGTTCTACATACTGCATTGGGGAGAAGCCATCCACATTAACATTAATGCCTGCGTTGGCACTAAAAGGGGGGCGTTGGGCTCGGCTAACTGTGGAGGTACCCAGTCCTCCTCCACATTCGGCGTGGCAGAGGAAGCACAGCTTCTTTCTTCAGCCGGCTCACACACAGATGACATGTCGTCTTGACTAGACGTGTCAGAAAACTGACCTGGGTCAAAATCTGACGCAGTGTCAGTGGCGTCAGAGTCTGACGCCAAGAAGGCATATGCCTCCTGCAAGTTATACATACGCTGCATGTTTTACACACGACTAAAACAAATTACAAACACACACAAAAAATGTTATACTTTTTTTTCTAAAACAGACTAAACAGCAATCCCTAAACTAACTCCTGTCACAAAAATCTAATGGAGATTTGGGGGAAGGAAACTGACTGACTAAGACAGACCAAGACACAGATTTTTAAAACAAATTTAACCCTTCAGGGGCAAAAAAAAATACAGACAGTACAAATGCACTGCTGTAACAGATCTGGCAGGGAAGGGGTTAAAAGGGATTTTTTATTCACTTTAGATACTGTATAAAGCTCTGGAACACTTCTGCTGCAACAAACTATCACGATCTCTGTCTCTCTCGCCTCACAAAACGCTACAGAGGAGAAAGGGGCAGAGATCACTGTCAAAGTGAGTGTTTGTAACACCCACTTTGACAGCAGCCAATTGTGAGCGATCACAGATCGCTCACACGCCGAAATTGGCTGTTACTATCTGCCTAGGATGTCTGGCAGATAGTTACAGTGTTATACCGGCAGGAGCGATCTTTGATTGCTTCCCGCAGCCCGTTTTTCGCTATGACGGTTCAGGACCGTCAGCGGTCCAAACGCACGTTTTACACCATCAGCGGTCCTGAAGGGGTAAAAACTTTTTTCATTTAATTATTTTTAAAACTTTTTTCTTTTTTTAAATACTTTTTAAAAAATGTTTTCCAAACTTTTAGTCCCTAACTAGCCTAACACTCAATTTCCCACTCAAGTCCACCCACTCCAGCTAACTAAAGAATCAACATCAAATTCATAAAATAAATTAACCCCTAATGGTGAAAAAAAAAAATAGATCACAGTTAAAGGGACACTATAGTCACCAGAACTACAGCTTATTATTATTATTATTATTATTATTATTATTGCCATTTATATAGCGCCAACAGATTCCGTAGCACTTTACAATATTATGAAAGGGGATTTAACTATAAATAGGACAATTACAAATAAACTTACAGGAACAATAGGTTGAAGAGGACCCTGCTCAATTGAGCTTACATTCTATAGGAGGTGGGGTGTAAAACACATTAGGACAGGAATGTGCAATCAAATAAGGTGGGCTGCCCTTTAGGAGAGGGCAAGAGACGGGTATGTGAGGTAGGGGTTAGTCTTGGAGGCCATAAGCTTTCCTAAAGAGATGGGTTTTAAGGCACTTCTTAAAAGATGCAAGACTAGGGGAGAGTCGGATGGCGGTAGGCAGGCTATTCCATAGGAAGGGAGCCGCCCGCGAGAAGTCCTGCAAGCGCGAGTTGGCCGTACGGGTGCGGACAACGGACAGGAGGTGGTCACGGGCAGAGCGGAGAGACCGAGAAGGGACATACCTGTGGATCAGTGAGGAGATATAAGAGGGGCTAGAGTTGTTCAGTGCTTTATAGGTGTGAGTTAGTGCCTTGAATTGACTCCTATAGCACACAGGAAGCCAATGTAAGGACTGGCAGAGGGGTGAGGTGTGAGAGAACCGACTAGAGAGGAAAATCAGTCTAGCAGCAGCATTCATTACAGACTGTAGGGGTGCAGTACGGCTTTTGGGAAGACCAAGCAGGAGAGGGTTACAATAATCCATGCGTGAAATTATTAGAGCATGGACAAGCTCCTTGGTGGAAAGACAAGGAGCTCAGTTTTTGAGAGATTGAGTTTCAGAAAGCGGGAGGACATCCAGTCAGAGATGGAAGAAAGGCAAGCAGTGACACGTTGCAGGAAAGCAGGGGAGAGGTCCGGGGTGGAGAGATATAGCTGGGTGTCATCAGCGTACAGGTGGTAGTGGAAACCAAATGAGGTAATAAGTTTGCTAAGAGAGGCAGTGTAAAGAGAAAATAGAAGGGGACCAAGGACGGAGCCTTGGGGGACTCCAACCGAGACAGGGCGAGGGGAGGAGGTATCATTAGAAAAAGAGACACTGAATGAGCGTTGGGAGAGATAAGAGAAAACCACGAGAGGACAGAGTCACAGAGACCAAGCGATTGCAGAGTTTGAAGAAGGAGAGCATGATCAACGGTGTCAAAGGCCGCCGAGAGGTCAAGAAGAATTAGTATGGAGTAGTGGCCTTTGGATTTTGCTGCGATTAGGTCGTTAGTAACTTTGATAAGGGCAGTCTCTGTAGAGTGGAGAGGGCGGAAGCCAGATTGAAGGGGGTCAAGGAGAGAGTTGGAATTGAGGAAATGAGACACACGGGTAAAGACGAGTCTTTCCAGAAGCTTTGAGGAAAAAGGGAGCAGGGATATGGGACGGTAGTTAGAGGGGGTGGACGGGTCAAGCGATGTTTTTTTTAGTATAGGTAATACAGTGGCATGTTTAAGGTCAGCAGGGACGATGCCCTGAATATTGAATTTGTTCTGGTGAGTAGAATAATTATCTTCAGGCTTTTGCTGTAAACACTGTCTTTTTAGAGAAAATGAAGTGTTTACATTACAGCCTAGTGATAACTAGCCACTCCTCAGATGGCTGTTAGAGATCCTTCCTGGGTCATGGCTGACTAAAATGTATCCAAACATTTAGTATCTCCTCCCTCTGCATGCAGAGGGGTTAATTAGCTTTTTCCAGCATGCAGCTCCTCTTCACTCCTCAGATGGCTACTAGATGTGCTTCCTGGGGCAGTGCTGCACAATGTGTAGCATTGCCATTTATCGTCTCTACCTTCTGCATGGAAACACTGAGATTTCCTCATAGAGATGCATTCATTCAGTGCATCTCTATGGGGAGATATTGATTGGCCAGGGGCCTTTAACTCCATCCTCTGACCCGCCTCCTTGGCTGAGATAATCAGAATTGACAATCTCAGCCAATTAAAAGCATTCATATGTGAAAGCATTGTGATTTGCTAAGATCATCACTTATGATGATGTCAGCCAAGAAGACAAATCAGGGACCACAGCCAGCACCAGCAGATTGAAATAAAGGTACAATTTTACTCTATTTATGGGGCCAGGGTGGCTAGATAATAACACTATAGGGTAAGAAATACAAGTTTGCATTCCTGACTTTATAGTTTTACTTTAGTGAAATATCATCTTATCATGCAAGGTAAGAGAAGGTCATAAGACCTTCTATAGCAGGCATCTGAATCTGGAAGTGCTCATAGTTCCCCAGGATTTGGTGGTTTATTACGCTTTTTTTTTTTGTATTTTGTTTTATTTTTATTTTATAGGGCTCTACACTTCTCAGTTTTTTAAACTTGGAAGGAAATAGAAGAGGCAATAAAAAAATAAAATATATATATATTATTTTTTTACCTCTTTACATATCTTTACACATCTAGCCTGCTGAAGAAACTGGGGAATGCTTCAGAAGTGAGACATTTAAAAATCTAGGAAAGTCTTAATTTAATATACATATCTGCACAAATGTTAGACATCTCTTTTATACAGGGCTCGTTAGTTCTATTCCTTGGTAACGACAATCCTGAGAAGCAAGTGCTGCTACTATGGTAACAACATAGCAGAACACTAAAAAGCAAGAGAAAATACTTTGATCATCATTGTATTTCATATACTTAGTGCTGTCAGAGGGTCTAAATTTACAGTGTTCTCTAAAGATCACCAGGTGACAGATCAAGTACGTTACCTTTCTGTATTTTAGTATTTCTGGTTTTGTTTTACATTTTGCTTTTTAAATCAAATACATGTTCTGACGCTTGAAACCTGCTTGTAGTTTGTTGGTAACACATCGGTCCCACAATAAATTCTTAAATTGCTAATGAGTTTTTTTCCTGTTTCGCGATAAATCACTGTGACAGAACGGATGTATTTACCGGCCTGGTTACAAATTGAAATGGAAATGGACTTGTCAAGAAGGATGATAGCTAGTTTGGTTTTAATCATGTGCAAGACAAACAGAAAAAAAAAGAGCTATCAGGATGATGTTAATGTATTGGGATCGAATAGCTGCAGAATTGCCAGAGATTGACAAAACATTTCAGCCAAAATATTGTACTTTGGGAGTTGGGTTTTAGCAATTTCATGTTTATCAGTATCACAACAATGTAATCGTTCATTTATTGTTTTGAGAAATTGATACAGGCTCATCATCTATGGAGAATTGAACTTCATCTTATTCAGATATATTTTTCATGTTCTGATTGTTTGCTTTTGGCATGCTTAAATTCTCAAAATATGGCTACATGTCAACTTTAATTTTAGGCTTTACTCCAGGCAACACTGCTTGTATGCATTTTATAGCTTTAGGCCCCAATTATAAGCTGTGATCTTTCATGTTCTAGTTGATATATTTTGCAAGCAAACATTTTTGCAGTATTTCCCATCCTAAAGTTACCTTCATCTGCCTTATCTCTCTCATTCTAAAATACTATCTTGTTGTTGGTTTCAGGACAGGTTTATTTCCTAAAGTGAGAATTGTCAGAAAGTGACTTTAAAATGTAATGCCAAAATAGTGGAACTTTTTCCTCTTCAGCTTCTTTGGCCTTACATTTGAAATGCACTGTCATGGTTGTTTATTACAGTGAGAATTTGCAGGAATTCAAAGTGAATTTAAAGGGACACTATAGTCACCCAGACCACTTCAGCTCAATGAAGTGGTGTTGGTGCCAGGTCTCTCAGGTTTTAACCCTTCAGATGCAAACATAGCAGTTTCAGAGAAACTGCTATGTTTACATTTGGTGTTAATCCAGCCTCTAAGTGGCTGTCTTCCGGACAGCCACTAGAGGCGCATCTGTGACACTGGAGGCACATTTTGCCTCCAATGCGCAGAACGTCCATAGGAAAGCATTGAGAAATGCTTTCCTATGGACACTTTGAATTTGGCTCCGCTGACGTCGGACGGGGAGGAGAGGGGAGCCCGGCGTTGCATTAAGGTAAGCTGCTGAAGGGGTTTTAACCCCGTCAGCGCCACGGGAGGGGGACCCTGAGGGTGGAAGCACACTCAGGGCACTATAGTGTCAGGAAAACTGCTTTGTTTTCCTGACTATAGTGATCCTTTAAAGTTTAAGGCAAATAAAGCCAATCAGAAATAAACATTGACTTGGAGAATGTTTCTAATTTGGTTCTACTGGCCTAAATTGTGAAATTCACTTTAAATTGACCACGATTCTCATGCTAGTACATTCCCACCAATTCTCACTTTGGTAAAGAACCCTGATAGGTAGGTGATATACACGTCAATCAGGAAACACGCAAAAGGTTTCTGAAAGTAGTAGTTAAGGAAAATGCTTTCTTGAGTAGTAATGCTGATACCCGAACCACAAGATCTGAAAATGCCAACTTTGAGTAGAACTGAGGTTTTGAATAGAGAGCTTTTAAATCTGTTAATCATCTTCTGAAGGGCAGAGAGATTTTGGACACTTGCCATCCCTATAACTAAGGGTTAAAGTGTCACAGTCTGGTGACTTTGCTGAATTCGCCACTAAGGGGCAGGCAGAAACAAGCTTTACTTACCTGAACCTGTCCCGCGCGGGCATTTTTGTACCGGTGGGTCAGCACCAGCAGTCACTGCCACTGCTGTACTCACGCATCTGCAACACTCCAGAATTTTACATAGGTTGAGCTAATTCCTGCAGCTGTCGGTGATAGCTGTCAGGATTAACACTGTAGTTCCGCCCAGAGTCTAAGAAAGTCAGGCGGAGGAAATATACAGAGTCAAAGTAGTCCTAACTTTAACGTTGTAAATTTCAGTGAAATTTCAACACCGGCAAAATGAGTATTGCATAAAGATTCTATCTTTATAGAATGCCAATATTTTGGATAGAGGGTGTGACAGAGCTTCTTTAATCAGGTACAGACACTTTGTTGAGAAATATTGTAAGACCACAATCACACTTCATTATTACAAAACACTTGATGTGCACAATGTGATGTGATTAGCTTTATTTCCATGTTTTGGCTGTGCCACTATATTCAGGCATAGCATGTGCATTAAGAGGATACTCTAAACACACAAGAGTTCACACAAGGTTAATGGAAACAATATAAAGCATACAAATGTTATTGGTTGCTTCTTTTTCTTTAAATCATTTGAACTATTCCTTTTTTCCTTTTTGGAGGTTTTATTCCTCCTTTTGTAAGGCTTGCTCTAAGCACCATAGCTTCTACAGTTCTAATAAACTCCTGTTTCTAGCTTGTTTGAATGTCAGCTGATGCTCTTAACCTATCACTGGTTTACTTTAAAAGTTAAAGCATGTACTGTTACCAGGGGCAGCCAGTGATAGATATGACACTTGTTCCCATAATAGTGTCATTGAGATTAATTTGTTCTGGGAGTGTTCTTTAACTGACAGCTAAGGCAAATGATTACTGTGATTGGCACCCAGGTTGATCAGACAACCTGAAATCCAATCCTTCACTATTACTGGACAGGGACAGCCAGCAATAACCAATTGACAGCTAATCCCAGCATGTACTGCTTCCCAACTTGTGCAGCTGTTTAGTAATGTAAAGTATATCACATGATCACGGTGAAGCCCTCCAGCTGCTTTACAGTGATAGTCGTAGTGTGATCACTTACCGCGGGGGTCAATATTTCTTTGAATCCTCTCTGAATCCATCAAAATAATGTGCAAATTAAAAATAAACTGTCAGTGCCCTATTGAGGTGTCTATTTGATGCTTTCAGTTGATTAGCTCTACACTGGCTAACTCTCTAAATGTACAGCTCTTATTATTATTGACATTCATATAGCGCCAACAAATTCCGTAGCGCTTTACAATATTATAGTGTAACCGAGTAAACTTGAAGAAGCCAGACACAGAGAGATGAATGCAGGTTTTCAGGAAGTAAGAGGTCTTTATTAACGTGTTCTCTATGTTCTCTTAGGGCTAGGGATTCATATCTATAGACAGCTTCTGTTTTCAACCACTCCATCTCTTGGGTTGTATATATCGGAGTCCATTGAGACAGAGGTGCCAGCACAAGGGCAGCAACATACCCCACATATTCCTCTTGCCCTGATTCAGTGGCATGTTTTGCTGCACTATCGGCCATGCGATTTCCTTTTACTACATCACTATTATCTTTCAGATGTGCCCTGCAATGTATAATACAGGCTTCCTTCGGTTCCCATACCGCTTCTAATAGTTGGAGTATTTCTGCTGCATACTTGATTTCTTTCCCTTCTGAATTCAACAGTCCCCTTTCTTGATACAATGCTCCATGGGCATCGGTGGTTAGAAAAGCGTATTTCGAATCTGTGTAAATATTCACTCTCAACCCTTCAGCGAATTGCAACGCCCTTGTTAATGCAATCAGTTCCGCCTTCTGTGCTGATGTCCCTTTCGACAGTGGCCGTGCTTCTATCACCTTGTCTATGGTTGTTACCGCATACCCTGCATAATGTATACCTTCTTTCACATAACTACTACCATCCGTATAATACTGTATGTCTGGATTCTGGATGGGGAAATTATGTAGATCAGGCCTGCTTGAAAACACTTCATCCATTATCTCCAAACAATCATGTTGACTTTCAGTAATCTGGGGCAGAAGGGTAGCTGGATTCAAATTATTGACAGTTTTGAGGTGTACTCTTGTATTTTCACATAACATAGCTTGATATTTAGTCATTCGACTGTTTCTAAACCAATGATTTCCTTTGTAATCCAATAGGGTCTGTACTGCATGGGGTACTCGCATGTAGAGTTCCTGACCGAATGTGAGCTTGTCATCCTCTGCTGCCAACAGGGCAGCGGCGGCCACTGCTCGCAGACAAGGTGGAAAACCACTGGCCACTGCATCCAACTGTTTGGACATATAAGCTACAGGTCTTTGCCATAATTCCAAATACTAAGTTAATACTCCCACAGCCATTCTTCTTTGCTCATGTACGTACAGATAGAAAGGACACGTGATCTGGTAGCCTAGGGCTGGGGCACTCATAAGTGCTTTCTTAACATCCTCAAATGCCTTCTGTTGTTCAGAGGTCCACAAAAAGGGGTCATATTCTGTGCCTTTCACAGCTTCATATAGAGGTTTCGCCAGTATTGCATAATTAGGAATCCATATCCTACAGAATCCTACTGCTCCTAAGAATTCTCACACTTGTCTTGTATTCTTAGGTATAGATATCCGACACACTGCTTCTTTTCTTTCAGGTCACATTGTTCTTTGACCTTCGGAAATATGGAATCCTAAATATTTGACAGTTGACTGGCACAATTGCGCTTTCTTCCTTGATACCTTGTATCCTGCTCTCCATAGAATGTGAAGCAAATCATAAGTTGCTTGTTGGCAAATCTCTTTGGTAACAGCCGCTATCAAAAGATCATCCACGTATTGAAGCAGTATACATTCTCCTGAGATGGACTTGAAATCTTGCAAATCCTGGCTTAATGCAGATCCAAATAGGGTAGGTGAATTCTTGAACTCTTGAGGTAGTCTGGTCCAGGTCATCTGACGCTTTGAACCTGTAACAGCATCTTCCCATTGGAAAGCAAAGATACACTGACTCTCAGCAGCAATCCGAAGGCAAAAGAAAGCATCCTTAAGGTCTAGAACTGTGAAGTAGGTTGCCCCACCTGGTATCAAAGCAAGCAGATTATAAGTGTTGGGTACAACTGGGTGTATATTGACTACTGCATCATTAACTGCTCTCAAATCTTGTACAGGACGATATTCATCTGATCCTGATTTCTGAACAGGTAATAATGGAGTGTTCCAGGGGGAAGTACACAATTTTAGTATGCCATACCTTACGAACTTATCCAGAATTTTAGGATGCCATACCTTACGAACTTATCCAAGTAGGTCTGTATGTTTTTCTTAGCCTTTTGAGCTATATGATACTGACGTAGGCTCACAGGATAGGCCCCAAGCTTTAGTGTAATATGTATAGGTGGAATATTACGAGCAAGCCCAGGTGGATTACTCTCTGCCCATACTCCTGGAATGTCAAATTCCCCTTAATTGGGGCATGTCAGCACCATTCACATTCCAATTTGGGTCAACATTTGGATAATGGGCTGCAGCCCATGCAGCCGGATTGGCCTGATTTTGAGTACGGGCCGTTTCCTCAAGCGCTTTAATAGCCACTTGATTAATCTGGATCCTTTCCTCACAATTAAATAAAGTTAATAATTGCTGGCAATCGGCCCAAGTGGGATTGTGTGTTTGTATAATAGAGGTAACCAAATCTGTCATGACTTGAGGTTTGTCGGTATACGAAGAGTTATGAGTCTTCCAATTGAATAGATCAGTTGTGGTGAAGGGGACATAGACAAACACTGGATCTGCCTGTTGTATTTGGCCATTTTTGTCAACGTGTGTTGGGCCCGGTGTAAGTCGGAGGGGCACTTGGTAATGTCGGGGTTGAAGGGTACCAGTCATCTGTCGGGTTAATATAGGACTTCGGCAGGGCTGTTTTATAGTAAGTTCCAGTCTACAGGTAGTAAGGTAAGGAGAATGAGGCGGGTTAATTTTACTGGGCGGACGTTCAGTCAACAGGATGTTGCGGGCCGGGCTGGGAGGAGCCTGACCAGGAACCAGAAGTGACGTTAATTCCGGATATATAGAACTAGTGGAGGTAGGTACTGGAAAGGGAGGACTCAGGGCAAGTGGGCTGGGCTCTAAACTAGATGAATGAGTGGACAGGGACAATGGGGAAGGGGGAGTGGCTACACCAGCAGCACCTCCTCTAATCTTGGAGGAGGAGTAAGGGGGTGGGGAGGGAAGTTAAGACTCAGAGGGAGAGTCTAAAATGGGCGGGGTTTTGGCCCTGATGGACAAGCGAGTCCTGGCCACCATGAGGCGACATTGCTCCTCGTGGCATACCTTAATCCATTTAGGCAATTCTTCCACAATCTGTTTCCAACAATCAATATACGGAAACTGATCATAGAATTCAGGCCTACTAGATACAGCCGCGTGCACACGTTATACTAGAGTTAGATCAAGACTACCACGTGGAGGCCATGCGGTCACCAAGATAGGCCACTCTCTACTACATAATGTAGTCAAACGCTTTGGGGATAATTTAACCCCAAAATCACAAACTTTATATCCCTTTGCAAAGTTGTTCAATATACACGACAAGGAATCAACAATCTTTGAGTCAGACGCACCCATACTGGCAACGGAGTGTCTAATACAAAGAAACACAATACCCCAAAACACACTTCCAACGATCACACTTGTTTCCCTGGCAACAGCACCACTTGGCACAGTTGCTAGGCCAAACACACACACACACACGAAAACAGGCAGAGAATTCTCGTACATACAGTGATATCACGACGTCTCACTCACAAAGATTTACTAAACACTAGATACTTATCTCTGGAACTATAAATCAAACCCTACAATTATCCACATTATAAATCAACTTTTAACTAACCGACTATATCACATTATAGTAACCTCATCTTTACAATGAGTGGTTATAATACAGTTTTAAAGTCACAGATCAGTTAGTAACAGTTATGGTGTTACACATATAACATAGGACAACAGTTTTTAGTAATTTTTACACAACATCAGTAGTTATAGTACATGTTAATGGTTATAATACCGTGCGCTATTATACAGTATACACATAATTTACACTCCCACTAATTGGCCAGCACCTCGAACTATCAAACTATTTACACCAGGATTCGGTCAGTCTACGTTGCCCAAGCCACATATAGCGAACTAGTGGGTGGAATTTACAACAATACCCATTTAGTCTATCTACTCTATCAATAGTCTAGTGGCTGAATTTACAACAGGGCACACTTAGCCAAGATAGGTTGAGAACTAGCAGACGGAATGTACACCAGAATCTGCTTAGTCTCGCCAGCCTCCCCGACCTAGCGACCGAAATTTACACCTAGACACGCTAGTCAAGACAGGACCCGGTAGTCTGGCATAAACTATTTACACCAAGATTGAGCCTGACCCAAAGCACCTATATTAGACGGGCTGACTACAGAGTGTCTAATTTCCAGATAAGCGGTGCGCCTTCGCTTCTTCCCTCCAGAGGGAGGTGGCAATCCAATAACCGGTTCCAAATATAAAACCCCCTGTGGACCTACCGCTCTAACTTTTTCAGTCTTACCTCTTAGTTCCTGGACCTGGGTTCACACTTATCGATGGGACACCCCGGTACTTACTACGTAAAGACCGATGATGATCTGGGCGAAGGAGCCCAGTGGCGCCGAGATGAAGGGATGTCCACACAGAAGTTCAGGGGTGCCGCCGTAGAGAGCGTTGGTAAAAAGTTTACCATCTCAAATCTCTGCGCCAGCTTCCGTGCGATGAGGTTCCCGGACCCAATGCACCAAAGATATAACCGAGTAAACTTTCAGAAGCCAGACACAGAGAGATGGATGCAGGTTTTCAGGAAGTAAGAGGTCTTTATTAACATACCGATCGGGTCTCAGATGTTCCAAAACAGGTCTGAGGGCCGAACACATGGAGTACATGCTTTTTATAGAACTATAACTCCTCTCATTAATCGCTCCACCCGCACATACCTCTAACCAATCGGTGGACAGAATTTGGATTTCCTTATATGGACAGACCACATGGCTCATCCGAAACAAAGGAGAAAGGAACGTGCTTTCAATTCCTGCACATGCTCAGTACATTGATGACAGTATCTTAGCTACATGTAACTAACTAACTGATACAACATACACATATGCCACGTGGAAATCTCGGCCTACTAAATTTACATTTCACCGAAATTCCATCACAATAGGAGGGGGAGATTTAACAATAAATGAGACATTTATAAAAACTTACAGGAACAATAGGTCAAAGAGGACCCTGCTCAAACAAGCTTACAGTCTAGAAGAGGTGGGGTATAAAACCCAATAGGACAGGAGATTGCAATCAAACAGGGTGGGAGTGAGACAGAACTGGAGGAGATAAGAGTGTTGCCCTTCAGGAGAGTGCAAGGGACAGGTATGTGAGGTAGAGGCTATTCTGGAAGGGCATTCTGGAAGTGCAAGCACTGTTTTAAGGATTGAAGTCTATGGGAGAGTCTGATGGTGGTAGGCAGGCTATTCCAAAGGAAGGGAGCTGCCAGCAAGAAGTCCTGCAAGTGTGAGTTGGCCGTACTGGTGCGATCGGCGGACAGTAGAAGGAATTTAGCAGAACGGAGAGACCGAGAAGGGACATAGATCTACTTCTAACCTCTGTTCGTACTCCTGCCTCTGATGCTCACCTTAAAAACTTCTCTAGGGCTGCACGGTTCCTATGGAATACCCTTGCCCTCTCTGTTAGACTCTCATCCATTCTCCACTCCTTCAAAAAATCTTTGATATTTATGGATCCGTGAAGAGATATGGGGGCTAGAATTGTTCAGTGCTTTATAGGTATGGATTAGTACTTTGAATTGACTCCTATATGATATAGGAAGCTAATGTAAGGACTGTCAGAGGGGTGAGGTGTGGAGTGACTGGAGTGGAAAATCAGTCTGATGGCAGCATTCATTACAGAGTGTAGCAGAGCGGTACAGCTTCTGGGAAGATCAGTTAGGAGAGGTTTACAATAATCCATGCGAAAGATTACTAGAGCATGGACAAGCATGCTTAGTAGCAAGTGCGGGCAAGGTGTAATCAACAGGTTTTGATGACAGACTGGATGTGAGTCAAGTATAATGCCAAGACAGTGTGCTGATGTGTGTACCAATAATTTGAAAGCAAAAGAAGGTCCGTATTAGGAGGAGGGAAGACAAGGAGCTCAGTTTTAGAGAGACTGAGCTTCAGAAAGCAGTAGGACATCCAGTCAGAGATGGAAGAAAGGCAATTGGTGACACATTGTAGGACAGCAGAGGAGAGATCAAGAGAGGGGAGATATATCTTGGTGTTGAGTCTCAAAGGGACACTATATTCACCATAACAACTACAGCTCATTGCATTTATTCTGGTGTTTATAGTATGCCCCTACAGGCATTTTAATGCAAGCACTGTCTTTTCAGAGAAACAGTGTGCACTTCTTCTGACTTTCAGCATCACCACAGTCTGCATGAAGACGCTAAATGCTCCCAATAGAGATGCATTGATTCAATTTATCTCTATGAGGAAATGTTGATTGGCGCGACATTGCATATTGCCATGCATGCACAATAGCCTCCCAATGTTTCCCTTTGTTGATCTCAGCCAAGGAGGCAGGGCGGGGCCAGCCGCGGTAAGACTGGCGCAAATCTGTAAAAAATGTGAGTAAAGTCACCTCTTTAAGAGGGACAAGGTGGGGTAAATTAAATGGTGTTTTTTTTTTTTTTTTTAAACTATAGTGTTAGGAATCTACACTGTCTCCCTTGGTAAACTCATCAGCTCCTTAGGCATTCAGTATCATTTCAATGCAGATGACATGCAAATGTATCTGTTCTCACCACCCTTCTTGACTCGTGTCAGACTGCTCTCTGCTATTTCCAACTGGTTGGCTGCTTATATCCTTAAACTCAACCTGTCCAAAACAGAACTTCTGGTGTTCCCACCCTCAAGTGTTGCTTCTCCCTTGTCTGTGTCCCTCCAAGTCAATGGTGCTGCCATACCTCTAAGGCTCACTGCCTATGTGTTCTCTTTGATTCCGACCTCTCCTTCACCCCTCATGTCAAACCAGTCGCCAAATCCTACCGCTTTCATTTTAAAAACATTGTGCGCATCCGACCCTATTTAACACCTGATACGGCAAATGTGCTTGTCCATGCTGCTGTCCTCTCTCGCCTTGACTACTGTAATCCGCTTCTCAGTGGTCTTACGTGTTCCCAACTTGCCCCATTACATTCTCAAATGAATGCTGCAGTGAGGTTAATCTTCCTGTCTGCCCGTACCTCCCACACCTCCCCCTTTGTCTGTCCCTCCGTTGGCTTTCCGCAAGATACAGGGCTCAATTTAAGATCCTGACACAAATCTCTACACAATGCTGTTCCCTCCTACTTATCCTCACATACACAAATATGTCCCGTCTAGGCCCCCAAACTCTGCCGAAGATCTACTTCTAACCTCTGTGCGTACTCCTGCCTCTGATGCTCACCTTAAAGACTTCTCTAGGGCTGCACCATTCCTATGGAATACCCTTGCCCTCTCTGTTAGACTCTCATCCAATTTCCACTCCTTCAAAAAATCTTTGAAAACTTACATCTTTAGGAAAGCATATCAATTAGACTGTGAACAGCTTTCCCTCCCCGCACTCTGACTCCTCCCCTGAAACTGTCATCAAAACAAAACACTAAGCTCTCAATGAATGCTATCCTAGCAATCTACTTTTCTACCCTACCCTTGCTTTTTGTGTCACTATACCCCACTCCCTCTGGCATGTAAGCTCATTGAGCAGGGCCCTCAACCCCTCTGTTCCTGTGCGTCCAACTTGTCTGGTTACAAATATGTGTCTGTTAGGCCACCCATTGTATAGCACTATGGAACTTGTTGGCGCTATACATAATAATACATCTATGCGCATTACAGGAATTTCCAAGATCCTATCACCTGCTCTGTAATGGTCACAGGGTTTAAACTTTGTGATTAAACAGCTGCTCGCTTTGTAGAAGTGAGACTCTCAAAAACAGAACTTCTCAAATAGTCATCCTACTCTCTTGGTATTGGTCCTCCTCTGTTAAAAGCTTAGTATTTTGGTGCTATCTTTGATTATGATCTCTCTTTTGCTCCTTGCATCTATTGAGTCTTTAGATCCCGCTGTTTCTTTCTTAGAAACATAGGTTGCTCCTCTCTTTTCTAGATGTCTGATGCATCTAAAACGGATGTACAAGCTGTAATCGTCTGCCTTGATTACTGCAACCTGCTCCTCTTTGGTTGCATTCATGCCAAGATTACCCCATTATGATCTATAATGAATACTGCCACTAGACAAATACCTAACATCCAACTCTTCGAATGTTATTTTTTTTTTTCTGTCAGTTTAAAATCATATTCCTTAACTTTCCATAACAATACCCCAATCTACATAACCTCACTCATAAATATGTTCCATCTATACCTCTCTATTCTGCTGGCAAATTACACAATTTCTCTGCATTCACTAAAATCTTCCCCAGCCAATAATCCTTCTCGCTGTTTTTCACATAGCTTGTGAAAACGATAAAAATCTGCATCTCTTTGGGAATGTGTATTAGCTAATCAATTATTTATTTCCAATGCCGTAACCAACCTTTTCTCATAGTACTTCCAGCATTTCCTTAATTTCTACTCCGTTTATAAACTCTTGTTGTAGGTTATGTTGTCAATATCCATGCAATTCAAATTGACTTCACTTAGAATGTATTTTGCATATACAGGTCAGGTATATATATATATATATATATATATTACATTCTTTATTTTTAAGTGCAGGATTAAATGTAGGTTTCATTGATGATACATGGCATAAGAGAAAATAACAAGTTCTAGATATAGTTAATCATGTTATGTTGCACTTTGTTTTGTAAACAAGAAAAATATTAAGAGATGTGTATGTCTATATGTATGTGTGTATGCCTCTGTCAGTGTGTGTCAGCGTTTGTGTTTGCCTGTCAGTGTGTGTCAGCGTTTGTGTTTGCCTGTCAGTGTGTGTCAGCGTTTGTGCTTGCCTGTCAGTGTGTGTCAGCGTTTGTTTTTGCCAGTCAGTGTGTGTCTGTCTGATTAGTTATCTGTCACACTCCGATCACATGAGGTGTTTTTACTCATCTTTTTTCCAAGCCGTACTGGTTTCGCCACAGCTTGTCCCGCCTCCATAGCTGAGACCATCAATCTTTATGATCTCGGCTAAGCCAATGCTTTCCCATAGGAAAGCATTGGGAAGAAATTGCGCTTGTTCCCTATAGATAACCTTGAGTGCCTCCATGCAGAGCATGGAGACACTGCACAGTACACAGGACTCTCTAGTGGCCGTCTGAGTGACTGTCACAAGAAGTCTTACTAGGCAGAAATGTAAACACTGCATTTTCTCTCAAAATGCAGTGTTTACTCTGGGCTGCACAGGCTACAGGCACCAGAACAACTACTTTAATCTGTAGTGCAGGGCTTGACAAATTTGCTTGAAATCTAGGAGCCAGCTAAAACAGTTAGGAGACAGATTTTTCATACAATTCTTAAAGGGGCACTATAGTCACCAGAACCACTACAGCTTAATGTGGTTGTTCGGACGTCTATATACTGTCCCTGCACGCTTTTCAATGTAGACACTAACTTTTAAGACTAAAGGTATGGTTTACATTGCTGTCTGGTAACACCTCTAGTGACAGTCACTCAGACATCCTCTAAAAGTGCTTCCCAGGTCAGTGCAGCACCTACATTAATGCTCCCCATAGGGGTGCATTGATTCAATGCATCTCTATGAGGAGAATTTGATTGCGCAGCATAGCGTTCTGCAGCGTATGCGCAATAGTCTCCCAATGTTTTTCTGTGGGCAAGCATTGGATTGCCTGAGATCATCAAGATTGATAATCTCAGCCATGGAGGTGGGTGCAGCCGCAGGATCACCAGCACGGCGTGGGAAAAAGGGTAAGTAAAAACACCTTTCCCATGTGATTGGAAGGGGCAGGTAACCTAAATATACACACTCACTGACAGACGCACACATTCATACACACACATACATACACACTCACTCACTGACAGACGCACACATACATACACACACTCACTCACTCACTGACAGACACACATACACACACTCACTGGCACACACATACTCACTCACAGACACACATACACCCCCCACTCACTTACAGACACACAGTCAGACACACACACTCACTGAAAGACACACACACTCATTCACTAACATACACACACACATTCACTCAACAACACATACACACTCACTGACAGACACCCTTACTCACACACTGACAGACATACACATAACACACTGCAACTCACACTCAAAAAAACATTACTTTTATTATTTTAAACCTACCCAGTTTCCCTGCCTTTAGGAAAGCTGGAGTGGATTAGCTTTCCCTGGGATCCTGTGGGGCTGCTGTCTTCTCTCTGCTTGGCTGTTGGTGTGCTGTTTAGTGATGCGGGGCCGGAATGATGTCATATTCCGGCTCCTGGCATCACTGGAGGGCGTGCAAGTGAGCAGAGAGAAGACAGCTCCCTTGCCGCCTCCCTCAATCAGCTGGCCGCGGGCCCGCCTCCCTCAATCAGCTGGCCGCTGGCCCGCCTCCTTCCCTCAGCTCTCAATTAGTCGAATATCCGCCTGCCTCCAATCTCAGGGGCTGAACAGGCTCACAAATCCCTGGCGCCTGGTATTTGTCAAGCCCTGCTGTAGTGGTTCTGGTGACAATAGTGTACCTTTAAGAATTGCATATTTCTCGTTGTGAATTAAATTAAACTCCTAACTTTTTACCTGCCTCCTAGATTCCCAACAAATTTGTCAAGCTCTGCTTTAGAATATAACCATTTTGAAGCAGGACCTTCACTGCCTCTTGTCTAAGACAAACGGTGTGCATTTGTGCTTGAATTTGTCTTTAAACTGACTTATATAAAGATAATTTCAGGTAACAGACTCTTTTTTAAATCTGCTTTTTTTTTTTTTTTTATATCTTATTTCTTTCTAACACTTTAACAGACAAAAGAAAGAATGATCGTTTTATTGCCAAGTGCCCTCAACTTGTTATATGATTTTTATGGTACTTGTGTGGCATGTATTTTAACTGTATGTTCCAGCTATATTTAATTGCTGACAGGTTGAGAAATAGCAGGTTGCCATCTACCAGTTGCAAGCCAAGTATTCACTCTCAAGCTGTACTGACTCATTTCACCTCAGTTGTGCCTGTCTATAATGTTATACTGAGTAAACATCAGAAACCAAAAGTCTTAACACTTCAATATACAAAAATATGTTTTGCGGCCATAAAGTGTTAATAAGTAATGAATAATAAAATTGGACTAATCACTGTTTTCATTTCTTTATGACTACTTTAATAGGTTCTCTAGAACTCATACTTCATCTTGGTTTTATTGTTATACATATAATTTTATTACATTTCTGTCTCACCTTCAGACTTACCAAGTGACCCAATTTCTTAGGAGCTAAGATGGGCAGGATGCAGTTGTTTTAGTCTCTGATAGTAAATTTTTCTGTTGTATTTCTGCAGTTGTACTTTGTTCTGCTTTTGGGCAGGTAGCTGTGGAATAAAAATTTGTTCCCCTCTCCTGTTCTCACTTTCTGAAAGTTTTATAGCTAGCACCAATGAAGCCCTGTGTCGTCTTATCCTGTGAAGTTTGGGGCTCCTCCATTGACAATGTAATGGTTTTAATATGTTCTGTTGTGGGTTCAGTCCGTTAACCCTTTATTCAGCTCGTCCTAGTATTTTTTCCCATGATCCTTTCACTAATCTTGGTGGAATGCATGCTGAGTGTATCTGTGATCCTCCGATAATCCGGAAAGACTGACCTAGGAGACAGCCATGTGGAGGAGGCAAGCCTTATACGTAGAATTCACGCACAGACTGCATTGTGTTCTACAGCCATTTTCTGACGCTTCTGAGCAATGGCCCAGGAGGAAGAAGATTAAGAATAGGACACTTTATCTAGAGTAAACGTCATTATTAATAAATAAATATGAATACCGCACTCTATTTAGTGATAAATACATATAACACTTGTTGTTATTGCTGAAATAAATTCATAATGTTTATTCTAGATAAATTTATGTAAAGTATAATAGTAGTGATGTTCATTTCATACAGAATCCTCCCGTGTGTGGGGTAAAGTTCATCTAATGTATATACACTTGGTAATGATCCTTATAATCGAGAAAAAATGGAAAAATATAGAAAAAATTGAAAAAATACCAAATTCAGGGAAAAAAACAAAAAAGGAAAGAAAAAACAAAAGAAAAAAACGAAAAAAAACAATATATAGGAGTCCTGGTAGTCCAAAATGTAGTGCACTATATGTAGCTGTATATGGGTGGATCTCACCAATGTAGAAGTATTTTTCCTGGTATACACAGTCAGAGCAAAGTAGTAATCAGATGATGATATGGACGAAGGTGAAGGTAATTTCTGATGTGGTCAAACAGGCAATTACTCCATCAGCTCCCAGTGGGTGTGTGATAAGAACAGCAGATCATGCTCAGGCAGTCTTTGTACGGATGGGCTGCGCGCTCGGGACATCCATGTCCCTTCGACGGCCCCTGTATTCTGCGTAATTGAGTGCCAGCACACATTGTATATTTTTGTAAACGTCATTATTGCCTACTTGGCCATAAAAACACTGCCCATAAGGGAAGTTGCAAACCATATGCAGACCACAGTCAAAACAACAACAGCTCAGAGCAAAGGCACTAATTTTAGAGCATCTGTAGTGAAAGCACAGAATATGTTATTCCAAAACCTTAAAGTTTTTCTATCTGGTCAATCATCAGAAGATCCCTTTTATTAGGAACATCTGACTCTCTATTATTTCTGTTTAAAATGGCAGATTAAAGCCTCAAGCTAGTGGCTAGGTATATGGGTTTATCATCTGTTGAAATAATCGCTAATTGGCTAAAAATATGGTCAGTAGATACAGTTTAAAAGAATGCCCTATGTGAATTCGGGAATCTATTCGGGTCACTTGTGAAAGAACCCATAAAACAAATGTTGAAGACTTAATAAGCATTACCAGAGGACAAGTGACCATCCACATGGAATAGAGGTCCTTTTTACTAGATCTCAAATATCTTACAGAGGAGATAGATTTTGAAAAACCAAGCCAATAAATATACTCCTATCAAAATGGAAAATAAAAGATTGTCTTTCCCAATTGTACAGTGATGCGGAACATGCTGGTGCTTTATAAATGCCAGTAATAATATTAATTGTGCTTAGTAGGAACATGTTGTGTATAGCTTGAACAAAAGTAGCATTCTACTTTACACAGCATCAAAGAATATTAATGGATGTATTTGTTTTACTTCCAATAATAATTTGAATCCTAGATCTTTATCTTGGCACACCTTGTGATATTTGAAGTCTTTACAGCATTTTTCTGAAGTTGGATTCCAAGATAGAGATGCTGCATATCTTATGCATTGTTTTTGCTATTAGTATACTTTCTGTGGTCATAAAAACACTTTTTTTTTATTTATCCTACATCAAAACTAGGATAGATATACAAGGCCATTAGGATCTACAGTGTAGTGTTACCTGATAAATTAATCAAAGTTCTAAATTTACCAATCAAAGTTAAGCCAAGCACACATTATTATGTATTCATTATACATATAAGCTATTAACCATTGCATGTGCTTGCACCATTAGGTTATGAGAGACGAAGAAGTAGTCCTCTTTTGGAAATTAATGAATCATGTAAATAGCCTGGTTGGCATTAGTAATTATGTAAATAGCATGGGTGGCATTAGTAATTTATGTATAATAGCATGGGTGGCCAAAAGGTAGTCCCCAGCTGTTAAAGAACTCAACAATCTTGATGCTTTGCCAGTTTAAGGATGGAAAATTATCTTGGGAGATGGGGGTTGTACAACAGCTGGGGATCTATCTACCTTTTGACTGCTCCTCATAAACATGTGTAAATTAGGATTAATTGATAGAGCACCTGCTACAAATTTTGAATTGTGATGTTTGGTACATTAGAACATTCACTGTACAGTTCAAATAGCAGGTGTCTATTTTTATAGCAATAAACAAAACCAGAACATCTGTGATTTTTCTTTTTCTAAATTCAGTTTTTTTTAATACAAATTTTTACTTTTAGCTAACTTTTTATTTGTTTTGCTGCAGAGTATCCTATTGAGAAAATTCCAGGCTGGCAGTAACTTTTGATTGTGCCATATCTTTATTATGTAGACGCTCCTAGAATTCCAATGTATATTTTACTGTTATTTTGATCTCCAGCCAAAAGCACCACAGAATAAAGGAAAGCCGGAAAACAAAGTGATCCATCCATACAGTAGGAAAGCTGCACAGCTTGCACGGGAAGGCCATAAACAGGACAGAAAGGAAAAGTAAGATATATTTAGCAGACATACACCTTAACTCCCTGATATTATTTTCTTGTTTTGCAATAAAAGTCTATCTGAAACTGGCTTATTCATGTTTTAAAATATCTTTTGTAGAGCAAATGGTAATACCTTTTTGTAAACAAATATCAACCTCTGTGTGTTCAGATTTAATAGCTGGTTCCTCTGCCTTAAAGTGATGCTATAACTATTGCAGAATATGTATTGAGAACAAATTAGTTAAATCTCATCTATATGTATAACCAGTGTTATATGTTATTGAACAGCCGTAAACATGGAAAGTTGAAGCGTCATATTTTTTTTTTTTTCACTATACAAAGAAAAAAAAATATGATTTTAGAAAGTTAGCATTAAAAACAAAAACAAATTGAACACGACATAACAATAATCTTTAAAAGTATTTTCACAAACTATATATCTGAACTCATTTGGATAATTGTACGTTGATATACATATGTTGTGTTTAATATACTTTTAATTACAATGTTTAATATTCGTTTAAAAATGTTTGTGTTACCTTGTATGTATTATATATTTTCTCTCTCCATGTGCATATATAATTTGAAAAATCTAAAATTATATATTGCAAAATATTAGCTTATTTTTATATATCCTAAATAAAAACATTTTTATTTCAAGGAATATATGCCAATTAAGTTAGTTATTGTAACCACCTTGAACATTTTAATTGAGATTTATTTATTTAGTGATTTGTCTTTACAAAGGTTAAAAAATGAAAAAGCTTTAAGACTAAACATCATTGGTAAGTACAATGTTTTTCCTTTTATATGTATATTGTAAGTATAGTGTGTGTGTATATATATATATATATATATATATATATATATATATATATATAATTTTTGTTTTTAAATATATATTATAACATACAGAATCCATCAAAACGAACTTTAAATCTCACAAACTGTGATAGATTTTTAAAAACACAAAAAATTTGCAGATTTAGTTGCAGTATATGATCATACATTGCACAACCTTTCTACATGTCAATGTACCCCGTTTTGGGGGAGGTGTATATATCCTGAAATGTTGTTTGTGTGTGTGCTGGCTCTATGAAATGTCTGCGGTAATGTGTGTGTATGTTAGCTGTATGTAGAGTGGGCGAGTGCTGGCTGCATGTGATGTGTCTTTTCTGTACGTGATATGTGTGTGTGTGTGTGTGTGTGTGTGTCTGGTGGTGCTCGGTTTAACATGATCCCCACTGAACCACCAGGGATCCTGAAAAATCCACCATCATATCGTAGACCTGGTGATACATATATTTTAGAAATTTTCATATATACAGAATTTAGGGACCTTGCTGGTAAACCTATAAATAGAAAAGTGAAATATTCTCTGATAAACAGAAAACACACATTCTCAGTTGCACTCACGGATAAAGATGATAAAAGTGCCTTATAGGTGCCACCCTTGATTATAAAAAAGGGGCTAGAGTTCCCCCTTTCGACTTTTCTCTGGACCGATCTTTTAAATCACCAAAAACTATTTACCAGAGTTTTCTTCAGAAAAAGGATATTTATTATACAAATTAAAAATGGTTACAGAATAGTGTTTAAATATGGTCGTCCTACGTGTTTTGTTCTCACATGAGAATTTCCTCAGGGGCCCATATAAATAAAACCAGTAACAATCTGATACAAAAATTCACAGCCTAAATACCTCTCCCCACAGTTCTCTCTATATAGAGCTAATTCCTAAAACATCATTGGTGGTGGAGTGGTGGGTGGTCCCTTATGACCTCTGGATTTGTTGGTGTGTTGCTTGTAACAGCCGTCTTCACTTGTTGTTGATTTCTCTTGCCTCCGCTAATTTCTAAAGTCCGTCGGAACAGTTATGACGCACTTCCGTGCGTTTCACGTCTGGATGTCCGTCAACATGGCTGTGCGTTCCAGACTCGTTACAAAACAGTCTGTATCTATACGCGAGCTCCAGCTGGTGTTGCTCCTAAATGGCAGAGAATTGAGCGGTGAGATTGCGGGGGCATAATCTATAAACCAAAACTGCTTCATTAAGCTAAAGTTGTTGTGGTGACTATAGTGTCCCTTTAAAGTTTAGTGACTCTTTAAATTTTTTTTTTTTTTTCTACTTTTGGTTTTAGTAACTGCACATTTTTTTCCTCTATTTTATTTCATCAAAGGTGAAAAACTTCAGTGGTTTCAAAGTCACCTAGATCCAGACAAAAATGAGTATACAAAGAAGGAAGCATGTGAACTGATTGAAAGGTACAGACTGTCAACAACTACGTTACACACAGTCCTATTTCCTTGTGTTTAATACTCTTGATTCATCAATTCAGATATAAAAATGCATCTTTTTTTTTTGTTTGGTTTTAAAAGATTCCTAGGTTATTTTGATGTTTAGTCTGGTCCTTTTAAGACTTAAAGGATCATTATAGGGTCAGGAACACAAACATGTATTCCTGACCTTATAGTGTTAAAATCACCATCTAGCCCCCCTGGGCCCCACATGCCTCCATAAATATAGCAAAATCTTACTGTATTCAAGCCTGAAGCTGTAGATCTAATACAAAAAGAAAAGTCCTGCGCTCACTCTCATCACTCCTGGGCGGCAGCAACGACCACAGTACTCAATATATACAGTAAAAACCAAAGAAAAAGTTACCTACACTCTCTCCTAAACCCCTATGTATATTTAAATAAATGGAGGTCATTTAGTTACTCCAATGGCAGATGGGCATTACTTCCAATGGCCACTGGAGTAACTAAATGACCTCCATTTGTGGGTTTAACACTATAGGGTCAGGAATACATGTTTGTGTTCCTGACTCTAAAGTGATTCTTTAATTTGTTTTGGTTCTTAAAGCACTCCTTTTACTTTTTTGCAAGTAAAACATGAGAATACAGTGTTTCCAGGCATCTTAGGCCAGAATACGTTGTACAAGTTACATTATGCAAACAAGTGTGATACACTTGTGTACTTGTCCTGTACTTGTGCATGTATTACTAATAAAAAAAAATACATTAGTGGTTGTTCCTAAAAGTGTTTTTTTTTTTTTTTTACCTTTCAATTTTTAAGAACTAAATCATGGGTGTCCAACCTTTTGGCTTCCCTGGGCCGTATTGAGCACAGAGGAATTGTCTTTAATTTTGATATTTCACTTGTTTAGTCGATAACTCCATTATGTTGGATTACCATATTTAGGTATACCAAATTAGGGAGCTATCTACTAAACACACACATATACATATGCACAAATAACCACAGATCTGTGTGTATGTGTACACACACATACAATTGCAGACCCATACAAACAGTCACATACATACACACACAATCATAGACCTATACACACAATCACATATGTACACACACACACACTGACAAATATAACTAAAAATCACATTCACACACACAGTTAGTACTTAAGATGTCCACCGAGCCTCCATACCTTGCACTGGGATGGCTGGAGTGGATCATCTGTCCCTGGTGGCTAGTGGTTACTGCTGAGCTGGGATCACTGTGCTCTTCCTGCACAGCTCCTTTGCACGCCCAGTAGGGATGATGTCATATCCTGGCTGCCGGCTCACTGCAGGACGGGCCAGGTAAGTAAATGGCTCCCTGCCTCCCTCACCCCTGACAGAAATGATAATCCATAAAATGAACACGTTTTTCGAATTTGTAATATTAGCTCATTGGCATCATTCTTCAATGTGATAGAATTAACACCAAAATTCTGCAAAATGCCTTATTAGTCAAATAAGTCTCCATTACACTTGGAAGGAACAGTCACTACAGTAGCCAGTTTATTGGGTGCAGTTACCTGAAGCCTGGTAAGCATGATGTGCCTGTTCTAACCAATGGGTACCTAATGATGATTTCATGGTCTTTATTTGATACCCGTGGTCTTTCTTTAATAGACATTTCTTTTATGACATTTGTGTGCCCTTTTTTTCCCCAACGGTGGATGCATCTGCAGGACTTGGTTTGGTACACTTTCAAACATAAATTTAATAATTTCATAATAAATTCTAAAGACCTTTCGAAGAATAGGTGGCAGCACTGCAGTGCTTTCTGACTGATGTCTTAGTGATCTTTACTGACGTATGTACTCTTAGTTTATTAATTTACTTTTTCCTTGCTGATTTATTTACTGCTCTAATACAGAAATGCCAATACACATACTACCACATATACAAGAACATTTCAGTGCCAATGTGCCGATGAGTGTACTTATATCCTGCTGAGGCAGTTGTACATTATTGCATTGCCTGACTTGATATGCTTTGTTTCGATGTCAAGGAAATTACAATGGGTTTACCATGATAATTTTCTCTACCTTGCAGTTATATGCATCGTTTTGATAGTGAGTTGGAGCAAATTGAATTACAAAACAGCATCAAAGGCAGACAAGCTAGACAGCATGTCTCTCGTGAGACCGTTATCAAGCAGACGATGGAGCGTGAAAGAGCACTTTACAATGGATATGGAATAGGTATGATATCTCTGCTTTTCTGCTTACAGTTTTACTTTGCGTTATTAAATCAGTTTTTTTTCCCTCATGTAGGTTTAATATGCTGCAAGATTTGAACATTTGTTTTGTAAAATCATTCTGAAATAAAATATCTATCTGTCTGACGAGTTAGTAAATAGAATGTACTTAAAGCATCACCATCAATCGTATATATATCATTGTACAGTGATTCAGAATTAGTTGGCACTATATAAATAATATCAGAAAACAACAATAGAAGTATCTCTAACCGTAGATCTATAAAAACCCTAATAAAACGTCTAACACCCTACACAGCCTGATATATCAAAAAAACAAAATAATGGATTACATATAAAAAAATAAAACTAGGGAAAAAATTATATACAAGAAGAAAGGACAGACACCAAAAAAAAGAACCCCCCTAATGTTTCGGCTGTAAGCCTTTCTCAAGTTCAATTACCAGAGCAAGAATTAAGAACTTCTAAAGTACACACACTGTGCTGTAAGATCTGTAAGCCAAAGTAGATGTGTCTAAAGCTGCATAAACAGAAATAAAAGTGATTTAACTAATAAAATACATATAATTAAGCAGTGATACTGCAGGGGCATGAGTTACACAATCAAAAGTGCTTTATTAAGCTAAAGTTGTTTTGGTGCTCAGAGTTTATTTAGGGAACAAAGATCAGATCTAATTTGAAAATGTAAGTTTAACAATCTGATGTTACCATCTTGGGGGAAAAAAAACACATACAAACAAGAAATGCTGAGATTTCTAATAAGATGAAAGGCACAGTGTTATTTACTGCTTAAGCATGATAGACTGGGATTTATTTAGATCTTTAGTATGTCTTTCTGAAAATAGAACTGCTGTTAGTGCACTTTTCAGTTGCAGAATAATGTAAAACTATGTTTTCCTCTTACACTGTCAAATCCATAAAACAAATGTAGTAAGAATGATTTATATTTATTTCTTGGATTTTCATTTACACTTGATTTCAAAGCTTTTATCTGTTAGTAAGGCATTACATATTGGTAAAGCTATAAAGTATACCTGTCATGACAAGTGCAACTTAATCTTAAAGGGTTACCCCAAGTATCATGTTTATTTCAGCGTTCTGAAGTGGACATTGTGCCTGGAGACTGTATGTGCAGAACTTCTATATGAAATGCTGCAATTATGGAGTTTAACCCCTCTGCTGCCCGATGTATAACTTGACCTACGACTGCATCATCGGGGTGTCATCAACTCCAGGCTGGCTAATGTTTATTCAGCGCATTTTAATTAATTGCACAGTGTGTTGGTCATTGACGGAGAGTGGTCAGGTTAAGCTTCTGCAGATCTGCAAATCACAATACCACCAGAGCTCGCCAAGGACCTAGACAAGGGAGCAAACTGTTGCCAAGTGGTTTGACTGTTACGGGTGAACCGGGCCAGGATATCAAAATCACTGGAGAATATTTTATATAGTTTCTGCTATACATTGTGCTAGCAAATGTCTAGATTTCTGTAAAAATCAGTATTTAACCCCACCCCCCCCTTCATGTCAGTCACTTTAGTCTGTGCCGATCAGCACAGATATAAGAAGACTGGATGTCTGTTATCATGGAATCCCTCTTCAGGGCATCTCGCCTGCAGCACCTTCAGCCTAAGGCAGGGGAAGGCAACCTTCGGCACCCCACATGTGGTGAATTGCTAACTCCACTCCTCACTACAGTTCAGCTTTACTCCTTGTGCCATCAAACTCTCTCCTGGTGTCCAGTCCTTTAAGAAGTCATTGAAAATGCAGCTGCTTAGGAAAGTAAATCATCTTCCTGGGTGATGCTTCATCAGTTCCCTCGTCTCCATAGCTCAGCTCACACTCTATCCCTCTATTGTTTTGCTTGTTCCACACATTACTTTTACTCGCTTATTTGACAATGGCATCATGTCTATCAATCTGTACCGCCTCTGATATCTTGTTATATCTCATGTTTTTTTTTACTGCTTCCACATAAGTTGTTTGAGCAGAGCCTTCTTTACGTCTTGTCCCTGTTATTTTATGTATGTAAATTACTTGTCAAATATCCATTCTGTAATTGCCAAGTGCTGAGGAATATATATTGGTGCTATATAAATGCTAATAATAATAATTTTTGTAACACATTCCTCGTGACAGAGAGTTGAGCAGTGTGTATGTAGTGATATGATCTACACACCAAAACCAGTTCATTAATCTGGAGTTGTTTTGGGCTTTGGGTGTCCCTTTAATCCTGCACAGTTTTGCCAATTCTTGTTTTTAAAATCTGCAAAGTTGGTGTGATTACAGGGATTACAGCTTCATGTTTTCAGTGATAAAAAATAAATTATAACTAAATTAAAATTAAATTAAAAGGCCGAAAACTATGACAAAAATGCATTGCAATTTTTGTCAACTAACTCAAATGCAACGAAAATGTTAGGGACAGACACTGCAATGAACTTACAGGTTTGGACTTCCAGTTTCTCGCATTCTACCAAAGTCCAATTCCTCCCCTGACTTTATCGGCAGCTGAATCTGCACTGCTGCCACCTGGAACAACGCAGTGCACAATTCAGTTCGCCTGTTACTCTCATGTTTGTTGTTTAGCCCCCTCCAATCTACTCTCTAACTGAACCCATTTAATTTTAGAGACATGGGATTGGTGGAGAAATTCTTAGCCAGAGTATTGCAAATACTCTTTCAACGTATTGCATCCCTTTCAAAGCTGGAAGAGGGGAGTATATTTTTGTTTTTAACTTCCTGAGTACCAGGTTTAGGCATGCCATATTACCATGGCAGATGTTGAACCTGAATGAACTAAACATGTATCTTAAAGATTACTTTAACACATAGAAATGTGAGTCTGTTCCAGCATGGCAAGCAGTTATTAACCATAATGTTCAATACACGTGAAAGTTTTTAAGATGCCCAGGATATCCTTATAATTGTAAAGTTCTCCACAACCTTTTGCCTAGTAGACATATGTATTACCTGTGCAGAATCAACAGCCACTTCTCCACTTCATCTGATACTGTAATACACATTATCTTGTGAGCTATCAAAAGCTAAGGGTATTGGCATCTTGAAGTAATTAGCCAATATTATTGACAGTTTTGAAGCAGACTTTTAAAGAAAACTCAACACTCTCTTTTGAGTTTTCATTCTTTAAGTTGAAGTAACGAGAAATTGTGAGGTTTTGAATTTGATTTCTGCAGCTGCAAGTCAAGTAGCTATTGACTGGACATAATGCATTACATCCTGTTAATAGAAGGTAAATTTCTGGTTAGACAACAATAAAATATCTGTTAATTGCTAAGCAGTGATTGTAACCTTGCATTGTTTACTTAATCAATTTTGAGAACAACTTACAACCATATGTTCCCATTTATCTGTCTGTTATTAGCCAAATTGCTATCTTTATAGTGTAAGCAAAACTTGCATGATTTTTTTGCGCAGTTTTATGTGCAAACTAGTGGGAAAGAAGATGAAAATACAAATGTATCCTGTAGGTGGCGGTAGCTCCGCCCAGTGTCTTGAAGTATCAGGTGCAGGAAAATCTGGAGACAAAGTAGTTTCAATTTTGTCCCAGTGTATCTTTTGACTGGGTTGGAATTTCAGTGAAAATCCAACACAGTCAAAATGAGTATTTCAAAAACATTTCATAGTTTTGAAATACTGCTTTTGCAGTGTCACTTTAAATCCCTGTTTGTTACAAAGAATCCCAAGGGTCATTTATTATCATTATTATTGCCATTTATGCAACAGATTCCATAGCACTTTACAATATTATGAGGGGGGATTTAACTATAAATAGGACAATTACAAAAAAACCTACAGGAACGATAGGTTGAAGAGGACCCTGCTCAAACGAGCTTACAGTCTATAGGAGGTAGGGTATAAAACACATTAGGACAGTAAATAGCAATCAAATAAGGTGGGAGTGAAGCAGAGCTGGAGGAGAGAGTAAAGTGCTGCCCTTTAGGAGAGAGCAAGAGACAGGTATGTAAGGTACTCTGGGAGACCATAAGCTTTCCTAAAGAGGTGGGTTCTAAGGTACTTCTTCAACAGTTGAAGACTAGGGGAGAGTCTGATGGCGGTAGGCAGGCTATTCCATAGTAAGGGAGCTGCCCACAAGAAGTCCTGCAAGCATGAGTTGGCCATATGGGTCCAAGCAGAGAGACCAAGAAGGGTTTATACCTATGGATCTGTGAAGAGATATGAGGCGCTTGAATTGTTCATTGCTTTATAGGTATGGGTTAACACTTTGAATTGACTCCTATAGGATACAGGAAGCCAAGGTAAGGACTGAGGAGTGATGTGTGAGAGGAAAATTAGTCTGGAGGCAGCATTCATTACAGACTGTAGCGAGGCAATATGGCTTTTGGGAAGACCAATTAGGAGAAGGTTGCAATAATCCATGTGGGAAATTACTAGAGCATGGACAAGCTCCTTGGTAGCATCATGTGTAAAAAAGGGGTGTATGCGGGCTATATTTTTAAGATGGAATCTACAGAATTTGGCAACATATTGGAGGTGAGGCCAGAATCAAGTATAATGCCAAGACAGCGTGCTTGCAAGGATGGACTTTTGTGGATACCACTAACTTGACGGGAGTGCGAAAAAGGGGGATCAGGATTAGGAGGAGGAAAGACAAGGAGCTCCGTTTTAGAGAGATTGAGTTTCAGAAAGTGGGAGGACATCCAGTCAGAGATGGAAGAAAGGCAAGCAGTGACATGTTGCAGGACGGCAGGGTAGAGGTCCGGGGAGGAGAGATATATCTGGGTGTCATCAGCGTACATATGGTAGTGGAATCCAAAAGAGGTAATAAGTTTGCTAAGAGAGGCAGTATAAAGAGAATATAGAAGGGGACCAAGGACAGAGCCTTAGGGGACTCCAACCGAGACAGGATGAGGGGAAGAGGTATCATCAGAAAATGAGACCCTGAATGAGCATTGGGAAAGATAAGAGGAAAACCACGAGAGGACAAGAACCGAGTGATTGAAGAGTTTGAAGAAGGAGAGCATGATCAACAGTGTCAAATGCAGCAGAGAGGTCAAGAAGAATTAGTATGGAGTGGTGACCTTTGGATGTAGCAGCGATTAGGTCGTTAGTAACTTTGATAAGAGCAGTCTCAGTAGAGTGGAGAGGGCGGAAGCCAGATTGAAGAGGGTCAAGGAGAGAGTTGGAATTGAGGAAGTGAGACAAGTCTTTCCAGAAGCTTTGAGGAAAAAGAAAGCAGGGATATGGGATGCTAGTTAGAGGGGGAGGACGGGTCAAGGGATGTTTTTTTCAGGATAGGTACTACAGTGGCATGTTTAAGGTCAGCAGGGACAATGCCAGACAAGAGAGATCAGTTTAAGATTGGATACCATAGTGTCCCCTCTGTCACACTTAGTGGCCCCATGCTGACAGATAAGCGTTGTGATGTGTTTTAAAGCAGCACTGTCACCCCCATATTAAAAATGAGTATAATCACAAAGATAGTATATTTATGAAATACAGATTTTGGCTGTGTTGGAATTTCACTGAAATTCCAATCTAGTTGAGAGAAATACAGAGACAAAGTAGGATCTACTTTGTCTCTGTATTTCTCCTCTGCCTGACATTTCCTGACACAAGGCAGAATCTATTTGTCAAGACTTGCAGCCGTCATCAGTCATCATAAGTGGGGTCTCCCTGCCGAGGGACCTAAGAAGAGAAATGTTAATGTATTAAAATTGTCTGTTACAAGGCTGGATACAGACTGGTTACTGTTCTGGATATCCAGAACACATTACGAGTCATGATAACCTGATACCCTAGTGATTCTTCACTAGAGAATTTTTATTTAAATCCAATATATTTTGCAATGCCCACTTTTTAATCGCTTGAGCCCTCAAGACTGCCAGCATTCCTGTGTAGAAGGGGGAGTAAAACAGTCTTAACTCTAGATTTTACAAAACTGCTGGCTTTATTACTTTTCTAGATAAATCAATACCTCAGATTATTTTTCTCCTATTTAATGGAATGTCACCCAGTGTGATACAAGTAGAAATTACTCACCCAAGTATGTTATCCAATCCTGACCTTTCATGAAGTCTGTTAAATCATTCACCCATCTGTTTTCTTCTGAAAAGCCAATATTTCACAGAAGAGAATCTTTAATGTAAGCTAGTTTCTGCTAACATGGTGCTTTAGGGATATGCTTATATATATTATATTTTACAAAATACACAATCCAGCGCACTTGCTTATTCACTAAACAATGATTTCAAATCTCACAGATTTTAATAGTTTTATTTAAGAACCCCTCACCTAGGCAAAAAATAATTGGGGTTTAGTTACATTTTATGATCATATATTGCATGAGCCTCCCACAATGTCAATGTACTATAGTACTAAAAGAGGAGCACAATCAGCTAAAATATAAAGCACTTTATTGTACAGGTACAAACGTAACAGTTATCACCAATGTCCAAAATATACATTAAAGTATAAATGTAGTCATACATATACAATCAATATGCAGGCTCTGACCAAAACAGAAATCAGGAATAAGCAATCTAGGATATGCATACTAAGAAGAATTCCCCCAAATACAAAAAAGAATGGATACCTATATACAAATGTTAACCAAGTAGTACATACCAGAACCAATTGAACCTGTTAAAGCAATTGAGAGGAGGGTGAAGAGGTCACAGAATAGCCCCCAACGTTTCGGCGCTGTCCACCTTTATCAAGGAAGCATGATGTGAAGAAAAAAATATCCCCTTTATATACCAACACATAATAACAACATAAATGACACGTTTGTTCTGAGTGAGCCTCCATATCTGTATATCGATTGCTTCAATCTATTGTATATGGCCGACAGCCAGGTGTGCCCACCATTTTGTTGTTAATACAACGTCAATGTACCCCATTTTCTGCATGTCCTACTCTAGCAGCCTAATGCCTGCCCTTGTTATATATATTCTTATCATTACAAAACACTGCTAGTCCTACTGAAAATAGACAAGTTAAAGCAGTACACAACATGTCTTTCTATATTAATAAACATGCAAACACAATTACTTGAAAAAAAATATATATATTATGTATGTATATATAGGTGGATAGTCCATACATTGTTAAACACAAATCTGCACACACCAGTCAAGCCAAGACTTGCTTTTACCACATAATTCTCACTTTAACAATGCTCTCTATACTGCATGGGATTCTGTATGGGTTGGCATATGCAAATGAGCTCAACAAAGAAACACATTTTTGCCTCATTTTTTCCACTTTATACATGGATGCCTTGGAGTATGTTTCTGCTGCATACAACAGCTTTAAAACACAACTCCGGAAGAGGTGCAATGCCAGTGAACCACTAATGGACAGATGTTGAGTTGTTAATTCAACTCATCAGCATGCTATGTAGGCTTGGCGTTACTTGTAAAGCACATACCAAAAAGGTTGTAGTGGGGAAAAAAGTGTGGATGAAAACCCCTCCCACCTGAAGTGGATAGTTACTAAGTAGTTAAACACAAATCTGCACGCACCAGTCAAGCCAAGACTTGCTTTTACCACAGAAATCTCACTTTAACAGTGCTCTCACTAATGCAAGGGATTCTGGGTGGGCATATGCAAATGAGCTCAACAAAAAACACATTTTTGCCTAATTTTCCACTTTATACATGGATTCCTTCGAGCATGTGTCTGCTGTATACAACATCTTTGAAACATAACTCAGGAAGAGTTGAGATTTCTGTGGTAAAAGCAAGTCTTATAGCTTGACTGGTGTGTGTAGATTTTAACAATGTATTAACGTGTGTGTGTGTATATATATACAGTTGCAAGAAAAAGTATATGAACCCTTTGAAATGAAATGTATTTCTGCACAAATTGGTCATAAAATGTGATCTGATCATCATCTAAGTCACAACAATAGACAATCACAGTCTGCTTAAACTAATAACATACAAAGAATGAAATGTTGCCATGTTTTTATTGAACACACCATGTAAACATTCACAGTGCAGGTGGAAAAAGTATGTGAACCCTTGGATTTAATAACTGGTTGAACCTCCTTTGGCAGCAATAACTTCAACCAAACGTTTCCTGTAGTTGCAGATCAGACGTGCACAACGGTCAGGAGTAATTCTTGACCATTCCAACTGTTTCTGTTCAGCAATATTCTTGGGATGTCTGGTGTGAATCGCTTTCTTGAGGTCATGCCACAGCATCTCAATCGGGTTGAGGTCAGGACTCTGACTGGGCCACTTCAGAAGGCATATTTTCTTCTGTTTAAGCCATTCTGTTGTTGATTTACTTCTATGCTTTGGGTCAT